AGACTGACGCATGTAGGTTACAGTTAAAATAAGGATCAGTGTTATAACATCATTATGACTCGTTTTCTTTTAATGCGAGCAGACAGAGATCCGTCTAAGTGGATCAAATACCATGTGGATTAAAAAAAGACTCTTCGCTGACAGAGATATACTGACACTTTCTGCGATGCTTATACAGTATGTAACACTTTGCAAAAACACTCGAGAATATCATAGTTTGAATGTACTTTTCTGTAACAATATTGTTATAACATTGTTCGTATAATATTACGAAAATATATTCACTGTATCTGCTTGAAAAGAGTTTGCAAAATGACTGCATATTTCTGATAGAGGATTTTATGTAATTTAGCTTGAAAAGTATTTAGTCGAAGTGAAATGATAAATATTTTTCTATAATAAAATTTTTAATATTTTGTCACAATAAAGCAGCAAATATTTTCTTATAATAAAACTGTAAATATTTTTCTGAAAAGAAATTATAAATATTTTGTTACAATAAAATAGCAAATATTTTTTTATAATAAAATTGTAAATATTTTTTTTAAAAAAAATTATAAATATTTTGTTACAATAAAATAGCAAATATTTTTTTATAATAAAATAGCAAATATTTTCCTGTAATAAAATTGTAAATATTTTCCTCAAATAAATTTATAAAAATTCAGTAAAAATAAAATAGCAAATGTTTGTCCTAAAATGAAACACTAAATATTTTCCTGAAATAAATTTATAAAAATTCAGTAAAAATAAAACAGCAAATATTAGTCCTAAAATAAAACACTAAATATTATCCTATAACAAAATAATAAATATTTCTTAAAAAAAAAAATTACAAATTGTACCAACAAAATAGTAAAAAAGAAAAGAAAAGAGTGTTCTCACAAATGTTCCTTGCAATAATTCTTCATTGATCTTCAAAGATTTTTGCAATTACCTTTCTCGCCAGTTTCCTTCTCTTTAATACCCCATCCACGGAACTTTTACTTTCTTCGTTCCGCAGAATTTCCGTTGCTCGGTATTTGCTGAAAAGTCTCGGTTCTTCAGCGCCCCGTTCCTTTTCACAGGATTTCTGTATTCCAATTTCTTACGAAACTTGAGAAATCTTAGCCTTCTACCTACCCTTCGATCCTTGTTCTGTAATAGCTCGCCAGAAGGAGATCCGACGATTTTTCGTTTCTTCGAAGGTTTGCAAAAATTCCGGGATATTTCATCGTTCTGATCGATCATTTTACTGTTTGATCTTCTCTTTTCCTCGTGTTCTCGATTTGGAGGAAATCTAAATTTTAGAAATTTATTGCTGTACTATTTTACGGCTGGTGAACTCTTTGCGGTATTTCAAAAATGCAATTGCATTGCAGAACAAGGGAAGTGTTGGGTTATTTTGATATTTGGGAGTGCTTTTCAAACCTGGTACAAATTTAGCAAATTTGAAATTTGGGGAATTGTATAGAAAATTATTTCAAAACTTGGGAATTTCAAAATTGGAAAATAGGGAAATTAGAAAATTCTGAAGTTGAGGAATTTCAAAAACTGACACATTTCATAATTAGGAAATTTCTTATAGAATTATTTTCAAATTGGGACATTTCAAACTTGGGGTATTGTAGAATGAAAATTTTCCCTAGGAAATTTCATCAAATTTAGAAAATCCTTAGTGGGACATATTCTAAAGGAAAGAAATTCCTTAAGAAATTTTATAGAAGTTGTAAAATCCCTAGTATGCGATCTCTCAAAGAGAAAAAATTCCCTAGGAAATTTTATCAAAATTGGAAAATTCCTAGTTTGAGATATTTTAAAGGGAAGAAATCCCCTAGCAAGTTTTATGAAAAATGGTAAATCCCTAGTATGGGACATTCTAAAGTACAAAAATTTCCTAGGCAATTTCATAGAAATCAGAAAATCTCTAGAGTGAGATATTCTAAAGTAGAAAATACCCTAGGAACTTTTATAGAAATAAAAAAATCCCTAGTGTTGGATATTCTAAAGGGAAGAAATTCCCTAGGAAAATATAATAAAAATGGGAAAATCCCTAGCGTGAGGTATTCTAAAGGGAAGAAATTCCCTAGGAACTTTGACCAAAATCGGAAAATCCCTAGAGAGAAGTATACTAAAGGGAAGAAATTCGCTATCAAATTTAATAAAAATTGAAATATCCCTAATTTGGGTAATTTTCAATAAAATTAATTAAAATTGGGAAAATCTGAAAGTTGAAATATTCCTAAGTTTGGGAAATTCGAAAATTGGGAATTTAAAAATTGAGAAATTCCCTATAAAATTATGTCAAAACCAGAAAATCCCTAATTTGAGGAATCCACCATAAAATAAATAAAAATTGAAAAAAAAAACAGAATTAAAGAATCCCACATTTTTTACATTTCAAAATCGGAGAATCCCAAAATTTCAAAACCCCCAAAAATAAAATTACACCCCAGTCACCCCAATTCAGAAAACCCCCTCCAAAGTTACACCAGAATCAAAAACCACCCCAATTTGAAATCCCCATAAAACTCCTAATAAACTATTACATTAAAATCTCCCCACCTCAAATAACGAACCACACTCAAAAAATAATATCTCCAGAACATAGTTGAAAATCAAACCGAATTTCCGGTGATCGTTGAACGCTAGAAAGGCAGAGAAATCGCAGTAGTTCATATCGCTGGTAATTTGAGCGCGATTAATTGATTTCGCGTGTACTCTATAGATCTTCGTTTTCGCTTTGATCATGCAATTTGTTCGCAATTTACACGGCTTTCGGCCGGCGCGTTTGTCCGAATTGAGTCGGAAGTATAATCGAGACATCGTGTTTACAAATTCGACGTTAATTAGCGCGCATTACCGCAGAAATTCGTAGATTGTAATCGTCCCATAAATCGTTATTGGTGGCTGTCAGGCGGTGATGTATTAAGCGTGATTGCAACGGGCGAAAAAAAAAAAAGAAAGGTAAAACACCGATAACGTCCGATTGAAATTTTCGAGCGGCAAAATAAATTCCAATCTCGGTCTGGGAAGGGTGATTAATTGCGCCATCGGCGGATAGATAGACCGTTAATACGGTGATAATTATTTTTTGATCAACTATTCGTTAAACGGAATTGCGGCGTTGTTTTTCTACGACGCCTTGATAAGCGTTTGATAAATTCCCGGGATAAAAATCACCGTGGACGGTTTCCTTGGAAATTTCGGTGTCGAATAAACAGCACTCGGAGAAAAACAGCCGACGAAAAATACACGTTAAAGCCGTTCCTAAGTCACCTGTTTTTCCGCGCCATCAATTTAACGCCCTGGAACAGGGACGTATCGTTCTTTTTAACACTGGCAACCTTTCTTCAAATATTCTTGGTTATACTTGGAGGATATAGGAGCAATCCAAATTTTTTTTTATTTCATTTTTTTCTTTTGATATTTGTGATACTTTATGTGTCAAATTTTTAGATATATAAAACTTTGTATTATTAGATTCACATAATTCAAAAATTTCAAATTTTCAAATTTCGACATTCTGGGAATTTTCAAATTTTCATAGACGACTTGCAAAATTTTGAAATTCCCTAGATTCACAAAATTTTAAGTACCAAGTCTCTTAGATTGCTAGACGCCCAGATCTTCAAATTCCCTAGATCACCAGATTTGCAAACTTTGAAATTCCATAAATTCCCAGATTTATCAAGTTCCTGAATTTGCAAATTTTCAAATTCCTTAGATTCAATAAAATTCACATTCGTAGACTTCCAAATATAAAAATTCCCTAGATTTCCATAGTATTGGATTCTCGAATTCCCTGGATTTCCAAACTTGCAAACATTCAAATTCCATTAATTCTCAAATTTTTCAATGAAAAAATTCTCTGAATTAACAATATTTCAAATTCTCAGATTGTCAAATCTAAAATTCCCTAAATTATCAAGGTTTCAGATCTCAGATTTCCTAGATTATCAAGCTTTCAGGTTTGAAATTCCCCAGATTATCAAGCTTTCAGATTTGAAATTCCCTAAATTATCAAGCTTTCAGATTTGAAATTCCCCAGATTATCAAGCTTTCAGATTTGAAATTTCCTAGATCACCAAGCTGTCAGATCTCAAACTCCCTAGATAACTGAACTCTCTGACGTAACGATTCCCTAGATTACCAAACTCTCAAAGCCCAAACTTCCTAAATTGTCAAACTCTCAAACCCCCAAATTCCCTAGATTGCTAAACTCATAAATTCCCAAATTCCTTAAATTGCCAAATTCTCAAATTTCCAAATTTTCTAAATTCCCAAACTCTCAAATACCCAAATTCCCTAGTTTCCAAACCCCTCAGAACTTCAAATTCTTTAGATTACTGAACTCTCAAGCCCCAAATTCCCTAGAGTACCAAACTCTCAAATCCCTAAATTCCCTAGTTTCCAAAACTCTCAGAGCTCCAAATTCCCTAGAGTACTGAACTCTAAAACCCCCAAATTCCCTAGTTTCCAAAACTCTCAGAGCTCCAAATTCCCGAGAGTACTGAACTCTCAAACCCCCAAATTCCCTAGTTTCCAAAACTCTCAGAGCTCCAAATTCCTTAGATTACTGAACTCTCAAACCCCCAAATTCCCTAGTTTCCAAAACTCTCAGAGCTGCACATTCCCTAGAGTACTGAGCTCTAAAACCCCCCAATTCCCTAGTTTCCAAAACTCTAATGTCCCCAAATTACCTAAACTACCAACCCTCAAATCCCCAAATTTCCTAGAATACGAAACTCCCAAATCTCCAAATTCCCTAGATTACCAAACTGCCAAATCCCCAAATTCTCTAAATTACCCAGGTCTCGAATCCTGAAATTCCACAAAATTCCCATAAATGACAAGCAGTTCCGAAATCTCGAAATTCCATACATACCGAAAATTCCTCGAGTGGTCGGATTTTGAAATTGAATAATGCTACAAGGGAAAAGGTTGCACACTGTAACGTAGCGAACAATTACTCGCGGTTTGAGAAATGTTTGCACGCTCAGGCTGAAGTTTATTTTCAGTTACTACGCGTCGACTGCGTTTCCACCTCGTTTGGCACCACCACTGAAGAGACCCCGACTGATGCCACCGGCTCGATCGCAACATCCGAAACAACAGAAACAACAACCCGCTGCTAACACCACCGCCGTTCCAGATCTAAATCAACTGAAAGTCTACAGTGAGTAACCTTACTATCAATTTACCACGTATTTTTATTACGTTTCTAAGTATTGTACTAGTTCACGAATTTTTTAAAGCTCTTTATTTGTTTATTTTTAGGGTTTTTAGTTGATTAATTGTATTTTATTGATTTTGAGTTTATTTTTGTAGTTTGTAAATTTTTTGGTTTTTATGTTTTTAAAATTTAGGATGGAATTCTTATATTTTTTTTGGTAGTTAAGTTTCAAACATATAAATTTTTATATTTCTGCATAAATAAAGGCATCAATTTCTGAATCCTTAAATACACAAATAATTTTTTTTGAGTATAAAATTAGTAGTGATGGGTTTGATCCTAATTAGTAGTGATGGGTTTAATCCTAATCAGTAGTGATGGGTTTAATCCTAATCGGTAGTGATGGATTTAATCCTAATCAGTAGTGATGTAATAAAAATTCCCAAATCCAAAAATTCCCAAAAATCTCAAATCCCAAAACTCCCAAATTCAAAACTTCTCTCGAATCTCCTAAAATGCTGGAATTATGTATAAACGCAAGGTCCAGCAAAAAATAAAACGAACCAAGGGCGGATGTATTTGTCACGAGCCGTGAACGGGGTACCCATTTAAAAAGTTTTAGATTATCGGACCTGCCGCGTTCAGACAACTTTCCTGATTAAATAATTACATAAGCTACGTGCAGCGGGAGTAATTTATCCAGCCGATAGGATTAAAATTTTGTCGCGAACGCATGGACAGAGACTCGATGAAAGTTATTTAATAGATGTACTAAGCGAATCCCGGATTATAACAGTGAAACTTTGTTTCGCTGACCCTCTTTAGTTTATCCGTTTAAAATTGTTTTTTTATTAACAGTGGATTTTATTTCTCTTTTGTTGTTCTATCTTTGCTGGATATTAAACCGATATGGAATTTAGATCGTAATGTATATGGAGTTACTGGTGTTTTTATATATTTCAGTCGAATATTTTAATTCTTTGCTATGGAAGATTTTTTTGTTATACAGACACTCTGATTTCTATAACTTTAGATCGAGTAGTACGATAATTTATTTCGATTTTAATTTATATAAATTTAATTTATTAATTTATTTATATAATTTAATTTATTAATTTATTTATATAATTTAATTTAATTTAATTTATTTATATAAATTAACAAACTTCAAAATCCCTAAATTCTAAAGTTCTCAAGTTTAAAACTATAGTAAAGTAGACAGTAGTGATAGGTTTAAACGTAATTAGTAGTGATGGGTTAAATCCTAATCAGTAGTGATGGGTTTAATTCTAATCAGTAGTGATGGGTTTAATCCCAAAATTCTCAAATCTCCAAATTTTCAAATCTTGGAATTCTTAAATCCCCAGATCTAAAAATCCCAAAATTCTCAAATCTCCGAATTCTCAAATCTCCAAATTCCCAAGATCCCAAATTTTCAAATTCCCCAATTCTCAAATCCCCAAATCCACAAATCCCAAAGTTCTTAAACCCCCAAATCTACAAATCCTAAAATTTTTAAACCTCTAAATTCTCAAATCTCCAAATTCCCAAGTCCCAAAATTCCCAAATCCCAAAATTCCCAAATCCCAAAATTCCCAAATCCCCAAATTCCCAAATCCCCATATTCCTAAATCCCCAAATTCCCAAATTCCCAAATCCCCAAATCCCCAAATTCCCAAGTCCCCAAATTCTCCAATCCCCAAATTCACAAATCCTCAAATCTCAATATCCCCAAATCCCCAAACTTCTATCTCCCCACCTCCCAAAACTCCAAAAGACCCTAAATCTCTAAACCACTGATTTTCCAAACCACCATAAAAATCATTCTCCATATCATGTTGATTGTCCGCGCGGTCTGTAATGACTGCTGTTGAATTTACGATGACCATTTCAGGTAACCCGGACATCCTGATCTGCGGTAACTGTAGAGAGATGTTCACGGACCTGGGAGAGTTGCTCGAGCACAAACGGAATTACTGCAAGCTGCGGTTCACGTGTAAATGTCACACCTTCAATGGAACAGCTCCAAGTAGGTACTCGAAAACCACCTCCACTTTCGATAGGCAAACTCGTTTCACAGAGAGATCGAGTGTCCTTTTCCCCCAGCGAATTCCGCTACTAGACGCTCTGGGGATTGCCTTTAAGAAATTTTTCAATAAAGATCCGGCTTTCATTGGAATTCGAGGGAACATCCGGTTTCGAAATACTGTCCCGGTGCTCTTCCCTTTAACTCGCGAACGTTCTCCTTACAATCGAACACCCTGATGCATCTGGTGTAAAAATGAAATTCGAACGTGTATCCCGATACCGTGCCGCCTGGAATTATATTTTGACGTTTTATCGCGAGACCGACGTGAAAACGTTCGCGAGACGCGACTGATAGTGGAATTTGCTTTAGGGTAACGCGATAACCGAGACACCGAATACACTGGCGTAACTAGGTGGGGCAACGGCATGGTTTGGTGGAACGCTATAGGAAATTTTTATATTTGTAGCAAATTTTCATATTTATATTTCATTAAGTTTAAAATTTGGTAATTTTTATATTTTTGTACGGGGAATTTTTTTATGTAGTTTTCAAGGGTGGTCAATTTTCAAATTTTTTCATTTTCTGAATCTCTAAATCTCAAAATCCCTAGATACCCTAATCCTTAAATTTCCAAGTCATTAAATCTCTCTAGTGATGGGTTTAAGCATAATCGGTAGTAATGGGTTTAATCCTAATCGGTAGTGATGGGTTTAATTGTAATCAGTAGTGATGGGTTTAATCGCAATCAGTAGTGATGGGTTTAATCCTAATCAGTAGTGGTGGGTTTAATCCCTAAATTCCCATATCCTTAAATTTCCAAAACCCTAAATTTCCAAATTCCTAAACTCTCAAACCTCTAAAATCCCAAATCCCTAAATTCTCAAATCCCCAAATTGCCAACTTCCTACTTTGACAAATCCCTAAATTCCCGACTTCCTAATTTCCCAAATCCCTAAATTCCCAGCTTCCTAATTTCCGACCTTCCTAAATCCCCAACATCCTAAATTCCCACCTTTCTAAACCTCACCCACCTAAATCCCCAACTTCCTAAAATCCCAAACCCCTAAATTTCCAGCTTCCTAACTTCCCACCTTCCTAAATCCCCAACTTCCTAAATTCCCACCTTCCTAAATCCCACCCACCTAAATCCCCAACTTCCTAAAATCCCAAATCCCTAAATTCCCAGCTTCCTAATTTCCCACCTTCCTAAATCCCACCCACCTAAATCCCCAACTTCTTAAAATCCCAAGTCCTTGATTTCCAACTCTTCAAATCCCCATATCCCTAGATTCCCATATTCCCAAATCCCTAAATCCCTAAATCCTCAACTCCCCTAATCTCAAAATTCCCAAAAACTCCCAAATCTCCCAATTTTTCTCACATCCTCAAATTCTCAGTTTCCTGTCTCACCTCAAAACCTAGTTACGCCACTGGACATTTCTCGATTCGTTCTGCTTGATTCGTTGAAATATATGATCCTCGTTAAACACAGAAAGAAAGCGTTCAAATTGTATTTCAGCGTTGGTGTTTGATTAGTCTAGCGGAATATATTCGCGCTATTTATTAATGTTTCCTGCTGTTATAACACTCGTTCAGTTGCGTAAATTGAATCGTTAGCTCGAAACGACCGACTAAACTCATTTCAATTAATTTGTTTTGACAGCAACTATCAAAACAATCTATTCCTTTCGACAAAACTTCTGCTTTATTTTTGTGGAGAATTTTCAGAGGTACTATTCTCATTTAACAGTTATTGAAGCACTCTGTCAATTTCAATCTACCTTATTTTTATACATTTTTTTTTTAATTTCTGCGAATGATACAATTTACAAACCAGATTCATTTAACACTTATGCTCATCTACTTCGACAGAAATTCCAGTTTATTTTTAAAGTAAACTTTTCCGAAAATTAATTCAATTTCTCAAAGGGGATTGAGGTTGTCTATGTCAGCAGAAGCGTCACTTTATTTTTAAGTCGAATTTTCGAAAATTGGTGCAATTTTGCAAACGAGATTTAACACTCATCGAGTCACTATAAAAGGTTCAGTTTATTTTTACGGTGAATTTACCTCCGTTGCTTAACCTACTCTAGACAACAGAGTGACGTGATAAACTGGAACCATTAAAAACAGGGTATTTTGATGTTTAAAGGAGACTCTACGACGGCTCTGCTCTGCGTGCTCTGCAAAGTATCCTTCCCTTCAGCATGGGAATTAATGGTTCACGCTCAGGCAGCTCACATGATCAACATTTACGAGCTGGGAACTCGTCCTCAGAGTCCAAGGTCTGCTCCCAGCCCTCCACAAAGTCCGGGTCAACATCAGAAGGAATCATCGCCCTTACCACAGGACTTTCAAGTGAGTTCATTAAAAATTATTTACTTAATTTACAATTTTGTTGCAAAAATTCTGTCTCCATTTTTAACTGAAGGTTGTAGGGATTTTTGAAAATTAATGTACTTGCAATTTTTGTTGAGTATAGAATTAGTAGTGATGGGTTTAATCTTAATCGGTAGTGATGGGTTTAAACCTAATAAGTAGTGATGGGTTTGATCGTAATCAGTAGTGATGGGTTTGATCGTAATCAGTAGTGATGGGTTTAATCCTAATCAGTAGCGATGGGTTTAATCCCAAAATTCCCAAATCTCAATTTCCCAAACCCCAAATTTCCCAAGTCCCAATTTTCCAAATCCTGGAATTCCCAAATCCCAAATTTCGCAAGTTCCTAATTTCCTAAGTCCTAACTTTCCCAAATCCTAATTTTCCAAATTCCATCTTTCTCCAATCCCAAATTTCCTAAGTCCTTGATTTCCCAAATGTTAGAATACCCAAATTCCCAAATTCCCAAATTCATAAATTCCCAAACCCTAGAATCCGTAAGCCTCTAAGTTCTTAGATCCCCAAATTCCTAAATTCCCAGATTCCAAAATTTCCAATTCCCTAATTTACAATTTTGATGTTGCAAAGTTCAGTCACCATTTTTAACTATAGATTGTAGAAATTTTCAAAAATTAATATACTTGCAATTTTTTTTTAGCATAAAATTAGTAGTGATGGGTTTGATCCTAATCAGTAGTGATGGGTTTAACCTTAAAAATGTTTCTAATTTGTCGATGTGGAGTCTTCTGTTCTAGCTTCTCCTAAAGATCGATTTATGGATTTACTTGATAAAGTAAACACGTTGTATTGGAAAGAACAAAGTTTCTCGACCTTCGTGAAATCAAATTAATCTGTCCTAGAAATGAATGTACAAAATGATTTAACGCGCAAAATAGTTTGAAGGATGAGATTTTGGAAGATGAAGCTCTCCAGCTTTTTACCTTGCATGCTTTAAATATTCAGGAATCTGGGAAACTTTGTCGATATTTTATGATCTCTTGTGATAACAACTTTCTTCTAGATAGGGTTCGAACTTTCTCTTCAAATTTCTTTTCTTTAATACGATGAACTGCGAACTTGTTTTTACCTTGCTGCGATAGTGGATTGATCTTGTACCTGTTTTAATCTAGCTTCGTTAAAACTCCGAGAAATATTTTTCTCGGAAAACACTAATTTACTGCTTAATAAATTAGATATTAATTTCGAAAGTTTGTTTCGTAATTAGTCTTTGAATTATTTCCTTCATTAAAATCTCAGTCTTTCAAGTTGCTTCCTTTGAAATATTCGGAATATAGATAGTTTGATGAGCCACCATTTTGTATTATGAACTGCGACGAAAGGTGCATAGATACTGTCATTTTCCTTGAGTTTTGGCCTTTAATTTGATATGTTGCAAGTATTATTTTGAGATACTTTTATGTCATGAATTTTTGCTACGATAATTATACTGAAAGCATTGATTCTGTCGAGTGTCTGACGTCCACCATTTTGAATTAAAAGCAGTAACGAAAGGTGCATGTGTACTATCATTTTCCTTTAGTCTTACCCTTAAAATTGATATATCGCAAGTATAATTGTAAAATACTTTTCTGTCATGAAATTAAATCAGTATCAAATAAACACAATAAAAACTTCCAACAATTTGCAACTGATAATCACGATATTGCGGATGTCTACATAAAATCTGTGAGCGGTGGCAGCAGGAAGCAATAACAACAATACAAGTCAATTTGAACGATACAAGTTCTGTGCAGTAAAGAAAATAAGCGAGTTGTAATATCGTCAGGCAAGCTCCAGTGCTTAAGACAAGCCTCTCTGAACAGCCGGAAGGAAAGTACGTACTGTAACAAAAGAACGAAATCCTGTCGCCGTAGGGAACGACGTAGAACTTGGAAAAATATTACTTCATCATATGTTTCTCTGTCGATATGTCAACTGCAGAGCACGAACGAGATATACGGATTGACCTATCAAGCAATCGAAACTTTTGTTTCGGCTTTCAAGGTTCGAATTGTTTCCTTGTTACTTTCGTTGTCAACTTTGCCAACGTTGATACTCGTATTACTTATATCAAATCTACGAAATACGTGTGTATGTCCTGCGTGAGGCACTTGGAATAAATTATGGGAACAGGGATTGAAATTATGGGGAATTTGATGGTGTTCTGAATGCTGTCTAATATTCCTATCAGTGTTTAGCGTGATGTTAATATTATTATAGGATTGTTTTAATAAGATCAATAATGTATTAATATTATATTAATATTATAGTATTAGTATATTAATATTATAGTATTGATGGTTATTTATAGGTGGACCACCTCAGTGATAATTACGCATATGGTCAAACATACAATGAAAATTAAATACATGGTAATTCAGTACATAGTAATTCAATGCGTGGTAATTCAATACGTGGTAATTCAACGCGTGGTAATTTGATGCGTTGATAACTTGATACGTGGCAACTTGGTGCGTTGGCAATTCGACGCGTGGTAATTCAACGCGTGGTAATTCGATGCTTTGGTTATTTGATACGTGGCAACTTGGTGCGTTGATAATTCTATACGTGGTAATTCGACGCGTGGTAATTTGATGCGTTGGTAACTTGATACGTGGCAACTTGGTGCGTTGGTAATTCAACGCGTGGTAATTCAACGCGTAGTAATTCGATGCGTTGGTTATTTGATACGTGGCAACTTGGTGCGTTGATAATTTTATACGTGGTAATTCGACGCGTGGTAATTCGATGCGTTTGTAACTTGGTGCGTTGATAATTCAATACGTGGTAATTCGACGCGTGGTAATTCGATGCGTTTGTAACTTGGTGCGTTGATAATTCAATACGTGGTAATTCGACGCGTGGTAAAACATATCATCAACGTATTCCTAATATCACAAGTACCACAAATGTCTACCTCTTACTTCTAAATTGAACTTCGTAATCAGACACCAGAAAGGCAATTCATATGACATGCACTATATTAACATATGTATTTTTGAAATCCCTAAAAAACGGATTTATTAAAATTTGTGTAAGGCTGACGTTAACGTACGTGGCAAGGAGAAAAAGGAGGTTAACAAAAAACGAAGAATATAAAATAGGTCTGCTTTGGTCATCCGAGCGAGTAGAAATAAGTAGAGCTCGCAGTGTCATACGCGTTAGTCAAAGGGTATCGTTTCGTTATCTCATCATAAAAGAAAAATGAAACAGGTCAATCTAGAACATTCAATCGATCACATACTTTCAATTCTTAGAATATTTTTAAACGTCATCGTTCTCTTTATACGATCGTGTTCACGTATGACTGGATATATTTCTGTCTGAATAATTTTCATATTATTTCCTGCCCGATACAGAGCTTGGGATATCGATTGCTCGTGGTCATTTTCGTTGTGTCTTTCGATACTGCTTTTCAGGAAAATTCGTTATCGACTTCGTTAAAAAAATAATAACTTCGTTTTAATAATTAATTTTGGTATTATAAGAAAATATTGGTATTTTGTTACGTAGGTTGCAGAAGGAATAATATTGAAAGGGTGTAATTTTGCAGAATGAAATTGAAGGCTGAACCCGTGTAATTTCGCGTGTACCCTTTTATATCTGTCGTAACAGGAAACCAAAGCTTCAGATTGCGAGGAACGCGCAGAAGAAGAGGATCTAGATAGACACGAATTATTGCCGTCCCCTGACAGTGGCAAGTCAACGGACAACGAAGCAGCTTTGTCACCGATTAAAATACGATCTGATGTAAACGGACTGGACCATGAAGAATGCGATGAATTGATCCACGTCGAGAATACGGCACAGGCTTGCATCATGCACGCTCTCAGCATTGTACGTATTTTGAATTTTCCTAGAAAATTTACACTCCGAGTTTCTTCGAATCTTTAAATATTAATCTTTAAATATTAATTCAACAAAAATTATTAATGTCACTGAGTGCTAAAATCCGATAACAATTGTTAAAATTCTACAAAAATTGTTACTGTCAGTAAATTGTTAAAATTCTACAAAAATTGTTACTGTCAGTAAATTGTTAAAATTCTACAAAAATTTTTAATGTTAGTAAATGCTAAAATTCGACAAAAATTGTTAATATCACTGAATACTAAAATTTTACAAAAATTGTTAATATCACTGAATGCTAAAATTCAATAAAAATTGTTAATGTCAATAAATGCTAAAATTAGATAAAAATGGTTAATGTCAGTAAATGTTAAAATTAGCTAAAAATTATTAATGTCAGTAAATGCTAAAATTCAATAAAAATTAAATCCATAATGTAACATTCCTCATCCACCATTCCACAATTTATTAACTTTAATCGAATTTACTTAAACATTTCTTAATCATATTAAAACGTATCCCGTAATTTTTAAAAATCAAATTAAATGTAAATACGAATGGAATATTGATCATAAAGCAATAACAATTCTCGCAGTTTCATAATGTCGTATTAAATTTTACTTCAAAGAAATATAAATGTATATTGCTTTGAATCACGTTGCGTTTATTGCCGGCATTTGTTTCGTATGCACTATTCCGAATCCTTTATTCCATTAAAATATGTTTATTAATTCTATAGGGAACCGGGGGAGTTGTGTTTAATTAAATTTGAAAGTTTCATTTTCATGTCGTACGTTGTTATGTCCAATTTGCTATTTGTCAATCCTGGGTGAAGTGAAATCCTGCACAATAACTAATTGATTGTATGCAATAAAGTTAAATTGTACGGGAATAATTAATCATGTGTAATGAATGATTGAGTGTATGATGTAGTGTAAAATCATATTTAAAAATTAATTGACTGTGCAATGTATAATAAAATCACATATGTGAATTAATTCATTGTGCACTATTAAACAAAATCACATATGTGAATTAATTTATTGTCCAATGTAAAATAAAATCACATATGTGAATTCATTAATTGTACAATGTAAAACAAAATCACATATGAGAATTAATTTACTGTGCAATTTAAAATAAAATCACATATGTGAATTCATTAATTGTACAATGTAAAACAAAATCACATATGAGATAAAATAAAATCACATATGAATTTATTGTGCAATGTAAAATAAAATCACATATGTGAATTAATTTATTGTGCAATGTAAAATAAAATCACATATGTGAATTAATTTATTGTGCAATGTAAAATAAAATCACATATGTGAATTCATTAATTGTGCACTATTAAACAAAATCACATATGTGAATTAATTTATTGTGCAATATAAAATAAAATCACATATGAAAATTAATTTAATGTGCACTATTAAACAAAATCACATATGAGAATTAATTTATTGTGCAATGTAAAATAAAATCACATATATGAATTCATTGACTGTGCACTATAATATAAAATCACATACGAGAATTAATTAATTGTGCACTATAAATAAATTCACATATGAGAATAAATTTATTGTAAACAATAAAGTAAACTCACACATAGTAATCAACTAATCATATACAATAAAATAAAATACAGTAATGAATTCATCTTACAATAAAATAAAACGATAAACAATACCTAACTGATTAAACCACACCAAACTGATCAAATTATTATAAAACACCAAATCATATCCAGTAATTTAATTAATTTATTTATGAAGAGTTTCTGAGCAATTTACACGTGGAAAGTGTTGAAAGGAAGCAGTCGATGACAAGTTCAGTCGTTATCGTAAAACTATCGACCGTGTCTCGTGTGTTGTTCGCGCGCGTTGTAAACGCGAGACGAAAGGTTCGTACCCGCGATAAATCACACCGAGAGAGAACGTTCTCTCTCGCCTTGTGCCATTTCGGTTTCGCATTCGCCGAGAGAATCGTTGTCAAATGGTCCCGCGAAACGATCGTATCCGCATAATCACCGCACGTAAACGCGTTTATAGCTTTCGCGAGCTCACTCGAAGATTCGAGCGATACCACCCCCTCTTAATACGCGCTCGGAAAAATTCCTTGCTATCTCCCTCTTCTATTAATTCCATCAAACGTTTAATTACAACTTCATAGCAAACACCATATTATTAAATAAATAGATTTCTATATTAAAAAAAAATGAAAATGAATTTAAACCCTTTACACCTCTCATTTAAAATGGTGCAAAAAGAATTTGTTTAAATTTTTCGACATATTATAACAAATTGATGGAATTAAAAAAAATATTTTAAAATAGCTCAATTCTTTGTGAATAAAACAAAACAGAATTTAGTTAAATCGGTTGAGTGGTTTCTGAGAAAAAAATTCGTAAGTGAAGCCTGTTTTCGCAAAAATTGCAAACTTTGAAGGCTGGTTATTTTTTAACAAATTCGAAACCGGCAAAATGATGACTTAAACCCCCCCTGATTTCATGTGGATTACAACATATTTTGATTAGCGCAAAATCGCAGACGGTGACGTCCAAAATGACCCATACATATACATGCATATATCTTTAAACTGAAAAACAAACATGATTATTTAAATATTTAATTTAACCTAAATAACCATTAATTAAATCCTGAATTTATCCCCTAAAGACCCCGTCCATATACAAGTACATGAAAAAGTATCCCCGTTCATATAGAAGTATATAGAAGTTGGGGAAACTTGAAGTAATTTTAGTATCAACCGGTTCTTGTGTAAATATGATTATTATGGATACGTTTATCTTGTGTTACAGGACTCGTCTTTAGAGCTCAACTCTGACACAAACTCCAGGGGAAGTTCTGGCCCAGTCATGGCGTTGACTAATGGATCCTTGTCCGCGAAGGAATAAGTCGAGAAAGAATTAGCCATTGGAACACGGTTTTCCTTGTCCCAAGGATTCCTGTAACCAGCGCCATCAACGAGACATATCGATCTCCCTTAAGGATAACACACCCGTCTGTATATAGCTTAAATGCCTAACAAATAATTCAGGGTCGTCCCATGCCAGATCTGGGACCTATTTTGGCCAGTTTAGTATCAATGGATCTCGAGCCGTTCCGAGGATTCGATGAACGAGAAAGATTTAAAGCGTTTCGCCTCCGTTTACGTCCATCTCGTCGATTAATCCTTTTCCTTTTTCCTCTTTTTTCCCTATCTCTCCACTTCTATTTCACCCTGGGGAACAACTTCGCCGCAAGACACATCGCTCCTGACGAGCTTCCACCCGTGAAATAATAAAAACGACGATTTCCTGCTCCCATTTCCTAATTTTTTTCTACGAGCTTTATTCTAATTCCGGGCAGACACTGGTTACACGGCTGAAATTATCAGGGAGGATTTTTAGGTCGAGAGGAAGTTAACCATTGAACTGATATGTGGGTTCTCATTATACTATTCTTGATAATTGAGAGAGTAATTCAATAGGTGATTGTACGTGTGGGGATTCGGGAAGTTATATAACGTGGTATTATTCGGTGCGTGGAGATTTGGCGTGTGGGGATTCGACGCTTGGTAATTCAAAGCTTAGGAATTCGACGCGTGGTGATTCGACGCGTGGTAATTCAGTGCGTGATAATACAACGCATGGTAATTCGACACGTGGGAATTCGATACGTGGTAATTCGACGCGTGGTAATTCGACGCGTAGGAATTCGACGCGTGGTAATTCGATACGTGGTAATTCGACGCGTGGGAATTCGACGCGTAGGAATTCGACGCGTGGGAATTCGATACGTGGTAATTCGACGCGTGGTAATTCGACGCGTAGGAATTCGACGCGTGGTAATTCGATACGTTGGTAATTCGACGCGTGGGAATTCGACGCGTAGTAATTCGACGCGTGGTAATTCCACGCGTGGTAAATCGACGCGTGGTAATTTAGCGCATAGCAATTTATCGCGCCGTAATTCAGCGCGTGGCTATCTACCTTACCGTAATCCAGCGCGTGACAATCGAATTAGTTTCCGAATTTTTTCATTTTTGAAAACAATAAAATCTTCCATTAAAAATTTTAATACTAATTTTAGTTGTTTATCCTCGTACATATCGTACATTTTGGTCACAATTAACCCCGCATTCTCTGTTCAATGGTTAGTACTCCACCTTTCACATCGTCGAGAAATAGACGAGAACGAAGACCGTCCGTTTGAGGTAGTTTTATTAAAATCACAGGTAGTTTTTTTCCGGGAAGACACCATCGGCGTGCATCACACGGCAACAAAGATATCGTTGCTCTGGAGGAATTAAATCGTGCTCTTTTTTAATCTTGAATCCGCTTGAAATTGTGTCGAAGTAAATTTAACGTCAATTTCACAACGGTTCATAAAGCTTCTTCGGTCAGATTATTAAATAATGATGTTAGAAATAAATGATAGGAATTGAAGTCGTCGATATGCTAATATTTCGGTGAGCATTATTTAATAATGTTATTTCAGTTTAGGTATAATGGAAATATATGGAAGATGGTTTTGAAGGTGTTCTGAAGTGACACGTAATTCATCTTACGCAATTTTCTTTTTACAAGACGTGTCTATTGACAAGATGGCCGTCCTTCTAAACTTGTCTTATAATTTCAACATTTATTTAGATTGTGTCTATTAAAAAATGCAGTTATGTAATTTTTTAATGTTCATTATAATCCAAAATTTATACTTTTTTGTATTGTGAAAAAAATTATAAAAATTTTCCTAGAAAAAGTGGTGACTTTCCTCGCCGATCAAGTACGGTTATTGTAAATAACTTTAGTCGCTTTCTCGATGAAAATCGTCGTTAATCGTTAGCAGTTAATTACCATTTAGGACATTGTAAATATTCGTGAGTAATCCTTAAGTTAGCATAACTATGGTAACAGTGTTGCTAGAGAAATTTGTGAAACGCTTTAAATTACTCTTACTCTTCGATCCCCGGACTTTTCGGATCGCGTTGATGTAAATTCGCCCGAAACTGATCGAACGTCGAAGATTTAACTCGAGTTACGGTGAAATCGATGACATTTTCCCGACATTTTCATTTGCAAATCTGGGTTTCCTTCTTGCCTACCATTATAGTTATGTTCTACGAATTTTTGTGTTACATGCTACATTGTTATATAATATTAGTTATAATTGTAATTGTTATTGTGTAATGTAATGTTAATTGTTATTGTAATTATTGTATTGTAATGTGATTTTAATTGTTGTTGTAATTATTATATTGTAATGTGGTATCAGTTATAATTATGGTTATTGTGGTGTAATGTAATTTTAATTATTATTGCAATTATTACATTGTAATGTGATATCAGTTATAATTGTAATTGTTGTGTTGTAACGTGATTTTAATTATAACTGTAATTATTACATTATAATGTAGTATCAATTATAATTGTAATTGTTGTGTTATAATGTAATTTTAATTATTACTATAATTATTACATTACAATGTGATATCAATTATAATTATAATTATTACATTACAATGTGACATCAATTATAATTACAATTATTATATTATCATGAGACATCAATTATAACTATAATCATTACATTATAATGTTATCTTAATTATAACTGTAATTATTACATTACAATGTAATTTTAATTATAACTATAATTATTACATTTTAATGTGACATTAATCATAATTATAATGAATACATTTCAATATAAAATTAATTACAACTTTAATTAACTATAATGGTTTATATAAACAGTAAAAGCTTGCTAGTGAAAAAATAATTATTACAATTAATATTAAGATTCATAGTGAATGATAATCATTTAAATATACTTATCTTGAGATAAATTTTATCCTACTTCTTTAAATGAATTTTCATGTAAAATATTAGTTAACCAAATTGTTTTATTTTCATTTATATGGCAAGATGGAGACCTCTTTTTGCATACTTACCCTTTCAACCCTTCGTGAAACTTTCTTTCCACTTAAAACAAATATTAGACTAAAAGCGAGCCTTATATAAAAATGAAAAATAAGATAATCATAAATATGAGAAATGCTTTTAATTTTATAATTAATTTCATTGTATATAGCAACGAAGGGTTTTTCACAATTTATCACAAGTCAAAAGCATCCCAATCAATATTATAGTTTCACATAAAAATTGTATAATTCGCAAAATTTCAAATTAAACCGAGAAAAAATTCTCAATGAATTTTTATCGAAGGTAAGTGAAACGTCGACAAAATTGTCCGTGGATATTTGTTAATTTCCAAGTCTGTTCAAACATTTTTCCGACAGTGATTCATCGTCGTAAGGATACAGCGAAAAACAAGAGGGGAAAAAGTGTATAATTTCCACGGTAACATCCGCTATGTAAACTTGATTCCATAGAACTCGGAACACGAGGCACTCGCTTGTGTCGAGTTAATTAGCATATCAAACGTGTATTTTTGATGATACGTGTGCGTGATGCGATTTTTCCCCGGCGAACATCGTCCAATCTATTCTAATCGAAAACTTGGCTTCATCTTACACGACATACGATATCGGAAATTTTTCTAAGAGATCTCTCGTGTGATATGTAATATTCTTTAATATCGGTACAATCAAAGAAATTGCCTTTAAATTGTTCCTTTGCTTGAATGTTTATCCAGTAATCGCTTTTTGAGTATACTCCAAATAACTTAGCGTCTCGAGTTGATATTTTATAGGAACGATTAAGGAAAATTTTCTTTCGTTTGTTTGCCGATCGGACATGCGAATATTCATGTGCATGCTACGAGAAACGAAGTAAATGTATGTATAATTATCGTTGAACGTAACACTCGAAATATAAAAATTACGAAGCATTCATATCAGTCGACGGGTTAGAAAATGAAGAAGGAATGGAAAACACTTCTTCGACTTGATTCACAACGATCAATGTTAATTAGCTGGTAACCAAAGAGTGGGGATGAAAACTAGGGCTGCGAATATCCGTGCAGGTTTTTACGTTTCGCTCTTCTCTATTTAGGAGAGTACGCGACTAAACGTAAATGGATTATGTTGAAAGAGATACGTATATCTGCCGGAGGATGTATAGATGTAAAGTATGATTGAGAAATTGCGTACCTTGAAACTACAATTTTCGAAGTGGGTTCTTGAAGTTGATGGTTCGTTGAAAATTATGCTTTGACGAATTGAGGAGGTTAAGATGTTTCTTTGGAATTTGGGTGTTGAATGGGGTTTAAATTTCGGTTGTTTTTGAGTATTTGGTTCGAGGGGTTCACTTATTTCGAATTGAAAGTTGTTCACGTTCATTTGATTTCACTTATATCAAAGTTGTGAGCTTTGGAATTTAAATTGTTTTGAATTTTTTGTTTGAATTCCACTTATTTCAAATTGGAATTCATTCGAATTTCACTTATTTTGAATTGGTGGTCTTCTGGATTTAAATTATTTTGAATTTCACTTATTTCGAATTGGAGTTCATTAGAATTTAAATTATTTCAAATTTTGATTCTTTTGAATTTAATTTATTTTGAATTGGAATTCATTCGAATTTCATTTCTTTTGAATTGGAATTCATTCGAATCTCACTTATTTTGAATTGGTGGTCTTCTGGATTTAAATTATTTTGAATTTCATTTATTTCGAATTGGAGTTCATTAGAATTTAAATTACTTTGAATTTGGATTCTTTCGAATTTAAGTTATTTCAAATTCAAGTTATTTCGAATTGGAAATCATTCGAATGTCACTTATATCAAATTTGTAATCTTCTGAATTTTACTTACTTCAAATTTGAATAACTGTGAATTGAAATTCACTTCAATTTCACTTAAGTCAAATTTGTATTTTTCTGAATTTTACTTATTTCAAACTTGAATAACTTTGAATTGGAATCCACTCCAGTTTCACTTATTTCAAATTTCTAATCTTCTGGATTTCACTTATTTTAAACTTGAATTACTTTCAATTGGAATCCATTTCAATTTCAATTATTTCATATATCTAATCTTCTGAATTTCACTTATTTTAAACTTGAATTACTTTAAACTGAAATCCACTCCAATTTCACTTATTTAAAATCTATAATCTTCTGGACTTCACTTATTTCAAATTTGAATTACTTTAAATTGAAATCCTCTCTAATTTCACTTATTTCAAATATCTAATCTTGTACAACCCTGATTAATCCAATAACAAACAATCCCTAAAAAGAACTAATGCATTAAATTCGAGTAAAAAAATGCAATAAAAAAAAAATGTCTAAAAACTGTGATTCCAAGGTACCTTCAGCAGTTCGACTTTCACTTTTATATTTTGTAAGAATCCCTGGGAAGCATAATAATTATAATTACCGTAGTGATTGTACGTATATATAATTTATACGATTTATTACGTCTATCTATTATTGTAATACAATTATCCTAATAGACACGAAAGGAAATAGCCAAGATGGTAATATAATATATGTATGTTAAGCACGATCAATCGAAACGATTGCACGCCGTCGTATCGATAATATGACGAGATTGCTTATGAATTATTGATACGATGTAGATGTACGATCATTATTTAAACTTCAACGTGTATCCACGTCTATTTTTAATATTCGAACATTAGTGATATCTAGCTTCAGAGATACGCGAGTGTTTGCATGAGACGGGAACAACGGAATTATTTACGCGGTTGCATTATAATCGAGCAATCGACGGATGAAAATCGCGGATTATTTCGACAGCCCTAGAACGATCAATCAAACGTCGACTCTTTTGCTGTCAGATTTTTCTTCTTGCTGAACGGTATAACGTACTGTTTTCCTTTTCTGCGATTATTATTTGCTCTTCCACGATCAGACTACCGGTTCGACTTTTCGTGCACATCGAACCGTTTGTTTCAAAGGAAATACACTACCGAGTGCCATTTCAATTTTATCTTAACAGAAATTTTCTGTTGGATTATTTACAAAATTTATCGATTGGAATTTTTCGATAAATTAATCAGTCAGGTCAAATTATTACGAGTGATGATAATTTACCTTTATAGTAATAATATTACATTATTTTATAGTATCCCAGATTTAATTTCAAAGATTCTGTTTATATTTATCTCTGTGAGTTGAATTTCGCGCCACGCGGTTTGAATTTAGCGCCGCGCGACGCCATGTCGCTCGACCGTGGCGCGCGATTTGAATTTGGCGCGCTCAAATTACAAAATTGATACATTCATCAATTCTAGACAATTTTTGATCGCATAAAATTTCCCCAATTCTGTCATACGACTATTTACAAATTACAACAATGAAAATATTCTCACAAAACAACCCTAATTAATAGTAAATAGACTCATGGCACTCGCAGTGTTAAAAAAAGAATGTCACAAAACAATGATCCCGACAAGAAGATGAATCTTTTACTTGACGAGTAAAAGGAACACGTTACCTTTAGCGATGTGTAGATTAAGCTACCTTAATCATTTACTAAGGCGTGGTTTATATAGTTTATCCATATTCACCGAGTATATCCGTAAAAATAATCGCGCAGCTACAGGCGGAGAAAATTGATCGATAGATCACAGAATCGAAGGGAAAGTGACATCTCGATCGCTTTTCTTACTGCGTTCTTCTTGGTAAGAGAAATGGATACAGTTACCTTGTATGTTAAGTTATAATTAGATCCTAGGCAAGTTATTTGTTCATAGTCGTATAAATACATACATGTATATTATATATATATAATGAATAATGTTTTATGGATCATTATCATCTGAATAAAATACGTTAAGTCTTTTAATGAGTTTTACATTTTATTTCAGACCTTGCACTTTTATGTAGGTCGTCTCACAACTCGTGGTCCCTGAAATGGGAGCTGACGTGATCTTGAAGGATTCTGACACTTAATACCTGAAACCTGATACTTGGAACTTGAAACTTGATATTTGAAACCCGACACTTGAGACCTGAAACCTGACACTTGGACCTTGAAACGTGATATCTGAAACCCGACACTTGATACCTGAAACCTGATACTTGGACCTTGAAACGTGATATCTGAAACCCGACACTTGATACTTATTCAGAATCGTGTCAGCTACTCCCCATTTCAGGGACTTATACTAAATGTGGACACCCTGTTCTTGTTCTATTTTGCACTTTCAGGACTAACTTTAAGGCTCAATACTTGTCTGAATAATTAGGTAATTACTGGCTTTCTCCAAGAACACAATAATTAAGATGTCAAAAAATTCTTCCCGCCAAAAATTGAAGAATTAGCTCGAAAAGCCGGTACGTGAGTAAGGCGAGAAGAACGTTGAAATGAAATGGAAAAATCGGTGTCGAAAACGTCTGACGTAACAGTACTTTAGACGGGAAATAATACGGTTGAAGTATCGTATAAAGCCGACGTTTTCTTGCGTCGCCAAAGGCGAACCAGCCTCTCTGTCACCTCGGTCAACAATTTCAAGGAATGTTGAGACCCCGTTGTGACGCAGAAGAGTAGTGGCTCGTTATACAAAAATTTTACGACCCAGTACCCTTAGCCTTCCCCCGTCAAATGAGCTCTCGTCTGTGCTCAAGCCCACGGCTAATGAGTCTGTTGTTTCTCCAATTAGACCGAACACGAGGCGGCCTCAACAGAAATAAGCGGAAAGGATGTTGGACCACGATACTTGCTCGCTCTACGTGCTAAGTGTTGTACTTCATCCCGGCCAAATCCTTCAGCCACTCTCCGTTCTGCCATTTCCCTAACCATTCTTGCGATGCATGTTTTAAAAAATGCGCCGGAAAATAGGGAGCTTGCATCGAAGAATTTCTATTCGGCTGGAGAGATCTCGAGGGTTCATCGAGGGAAATGGGAGGTCATAGAGTTTTACTGTGTTTGGGGGTACTTGGACTAATTATGGTACAGTTTATATTTTGAGGGATTTGGAATTTGGTTTAATAGAGGAGGACTTTTGTTATGTGATACTTTTACTGTCGTGTGGTGTGCTTTTGTATGTTATGATCATGGGTGTTGGACTTGTGTGTGTTGTATTTCTAGGTTATGGTATTTTCGCGCATGGTATCCACGCGTGGTACCTTCACGTATGATATCTTCACGCGTGGTACCTTCACACGTGATATCTCCATGCGTGGTACCTTCACACATGATATTTCCACGCATGGTACCTTCACACGTGGTATCTCCACACATGGTATTTCTACGCATGGTGCCTTCACACGTGGTATCTCCACGCATGGTAACTCCACGCGTGGTATCTCCACGCATGGTATTTCCACGCATGGTATTTCCACGCATGGTACCTTCACACATGGTACCTCCACGCATGGTACCTTCACACGTGGTATTTCCACGCATGGTAACTCCACGCATGGTACCTTCACACGTGGTACCTCCACGCATGGTACCTTCACACGTGGTATTTCCACGCATGGTAACTCCACGCGTGGTATCTCCACGCATGGTATTTCCACGCATAGTAACTCCACGCGTGGTACCTTCACATGTGGTATCTCCACGCATGGCACCTTCACACGTGGTATCTCCACGCATGGTAACTCTACACGTGGTATCTCCACGCATGGTATTTCCACGCATAGTAACTCTACGCGTGGTACCTTCACACGTGGTATCTCCACGCATGGTATCTCCACGCATGGCACCTTCACACGTGGTATCTCCACGCATGGTAACTCCACGCGTGGTATCTCCACGCATGGTATTTCCACGCATAGTAACTCCACGCGTGGTACCTTCACATGTGGTATCTCCACGCATGGTACCTTCACACGTGGTGTCTCCACGCATGGTAACCCCACGCGTGGTATTTTCACACATGGTACCTCCACGCATGGTATCTTCACATATGGTATCTCCAAGCGTAGATATCTCCCCGCGTCATATCTCCACGCGCTATATTTCCACGTGTTGTATCTCCACGCTCTGTAATACCACGCATTACAATTCTATTATTGTATTTCTACACATCATGATATTTCCAAGCGTGTTATCTTCACAGACCTCTGTATCTGTATCTCACACATAATATCTCGACCTTATCTTCTACCTTATCTCCATATCTCAAAAAATCACTCACCCTATCGCAAAATCTACCAGTTTTATTTATTAAATTTTGAATAATATAAATAGAGTGTAATATTAAAATCTACTATCAAAGTGGCGTATCCAAATAATTTTATGTCCGCTAAAAATACAAGTTCAGATCAGATTTGTTAAAAATTTCTATTTATTACCGAAAGTGTAAAATACAAATTGTGTTTGTCTTAATTTAATTTGAAGTTCATTTCTTTTTTGTAGATATAGGAATTTGTTTCGTAGGATCGTTTATTAATGTTTCACGTATTTCGATACGACACGCTGGTGAATTACTTTCATAGCTTCGAATGTTTCGGCACCGACGGCTTTGATCTCTGAAGGAGGCAGTATAAATCCAGTATTTCCTCCGGGTAATTCATAGGTGTATGACAAACTGACACCTGCCTTGTCCATAGCCCAGTCGTCGCTACCTCCAGCAGCGGGATCTAATAATTCAAATGAATGATCAATGAGATGAAACAGAATATCGGAGGTGGATCAAAAACTGAATATTAATGTCTGCATAGAAACTTCGATTCAATTTTACCTAGTAGAAGATTTATCTACAAATATATTTAACCCGTCTCCACATCATCAAACTTGATCTCGACACAAAATCTTTTATATACTTGATTTTAGATTTGTTATTTAATTTAAGAAAAATTTTATCGGAAATCGGTAAGTTAATTTACTTTTCTAGATGGAACCTAATTTTTTTGATGAAATGTTTGGGAGATTTATATATGGAAATTGTTAATTCGTTTTTATGTTAATAAAGTTTCGATTCATTGTTTAATTTAAGCACCCTTTCGTGGAAAATCGACAAGTTTAAATTAATTTATTTTTTTTTATAGAAGTTGATGTAAATTAAATATTGGAAGTTTTATGAATTTTTGATATTACTTACAGAGATGAATAGCAGAACTTCCATAAGTGTACTTAGTCTTGCGAGATTTGGCGATTGCTTTAGCGCACTCACTGGCAATTTCACGCTATGAAAATAACAAATATTTTAAGAAAATGAAGATTAATATTTTTAAATTGTATTAACAAATTTTTAAATTTGTTTCTTAATTAATGTACTAACCAGTTCTGGTTCGTTAGCTGGCAACTTGCTGGTGTAACCCCAAGGATACAGAATGTACTACAAAACAAAATTAAATTGTCAATGAATGTACAAAATTGAATTAAATTAAATTAATAAAAAATTGAAGTCAATTCTGCAAAATTAAATTGCAAAAAATTTAATGTCATTGTAAAAAATTAAATTACCAAAAAACTCAATTTAATTGTATTGAAATTAAAATACTAAAAAATTGAAGTTAATTCTATAAAATTAAATTGCAAAAAATTTAATATCATTGTAAAAAATTAAATTACCAAAAAACTCAATTTAATTATATTGAAATTAAAGTACTAAAAAATTGAAGTTAATTCTATAAAATTAAATTGAAAAAAATTTAATGTCGTAAAAAATTAAATTACCAAAAAGCTCAATTTAATTGTATTGAAATTAAAGTTCTAAAAATTGAAGTTAATTCTATAAAATTAAATTGCAAAAAATTTAATGTCATTGTAAAAAATTCAATTACCAAAAAACTCAATTTAATTGTATTGAAATTAAAGTACTAAAAAGTTGAAGTTAATTCTATAAAATTAAATTGCAAAAAATTTAATGTCATTGTAAAAAATTAAATTACCAAAAAATTCAATTTAATTGTGTGAAATTAAATTATTAAAAAATTCAATTTAATTAAACAAAATTAAATTGCAAAAAATTAAACTTAATTGTATAAAATTAAATAGCAAATAAAAAATATTTATTGAATAAAATTAAATTTGCCAAAAAATTGAAGTTTCATAAAATAATAAGTATACACTAAATAATTGTACTTACTTGACCATAAGAATGCATCGTAACATAAGCCTTGACAACACCCTTCAGCGTCAAAACGAAGTTCTTCATGTTTTGCGTTTCCGGTTCAGAGAAAGGTTTAGGCCCAGCATAAGTCTCGCTGCAGGGGTTGCTAGACGCGCCAGCAGCTAGAAAAAATAATAACAAATAAATTGAAAGTCGACAGAAAAGATAATTCCATGAAACTCTTGACGTATCCGAAATCGATACGCGTTTGTAAAGAAACAAGGATTCCTTTTGCAAAAATAGTTAATCTATCGAGCGACCGGGAACTCGGGGAATAATCTAATAAAAAGTTGCAGAGCAAGCGTTGAATTTTCTCGCGAGTAGTTTAATACGCGAAAGTGCGGCCACGAATTTTCTGTTGCAGTCAACTTTCAAGTAGCACGACGAATTAGACCCATCTCAATTTAGAGACTTGCAATTTCAGCGTGACTATGGCCGTGTTCGCCGCGTTTCGCCAATTTAGCCGGCTGAAATTTCGCGAGCGAGAAAAATTCAGGTTGCTCTTTCAGACTTCGCGTTCTATCTATTCTTTTGTACATTTTTTTATATTGGATTCATATTAATTGTTAATATATCTGGGAACATCATTTTTAATGTCCTTTTCAATTTCACTTGTTTTGAATTGGCATTCGTTCGAATTTCACTTGTTTCAAGTTGGAATTCATTCGAATTTCACTTATTTCAAATTAGAATTCATTCGAATTTCACTTACTACAAGTTCGAATTACTTCAAATTGGAATTTATTCGAATTTCACTTATATTGAATTAAAGTTATTTTAAATTTCAGATATCTCGAATTGGAATTCGATCGAATTTCACTTATTTCAAATTTTAATTACTTCAAATTGGAATTCATTGGAATTTCACTTGTTTCGAATTAAAGTTACTTCAAATTTGAATGTTCCTAATTAGAATTCGTTCGAATTTCACTTGTTTCAAATTTGAATTACTTCAAATTGGAATTCATTCGGATTTCACGTATTTCGAATTAAAGTTATTTCAAATTTGAGACATTCCGAATTGGAATTCGATCGAGTTTCACTTATTTTGCGTTGAAATTCATTCAAATTTCACTTATTTCAAATTGCAATTAACTCGCATTTGACTTATATCAAACTAAAGTTATTTCAAATTTGAGGTATTTCGCATTGAAATGCATTGAAATTTTACTTATTTCATATTGCGATTCATTCAAATTTCACTTATTTCAAATTCGAATTACTTCAAATTGTAATTCACTCGCATTTGACTTATATCAAACTAAAGTTATTTCACATTTGAGATTCGCATTGAAATTCGTTGGAATTTCACTTATTTCAAATTGTAATTCATTCGAATTTCACTTATATCAAATTAAAATTATTTCAAACTCGAATTAATTCAAATTTAGGAGACTTCGAATTGCAATTCAATAAATTTTGTTTTTGTAGTATAAACCTATTAATGAATCTGCCAATAAAGAAATTTAAAATATATTAACTATCTAAATCATAATTGTATTCTTTCACAATTCCATTCAAATATTTTTATTTAGTTAAAAACAAGAATGCGCTATAAATATTATGATCATGTAATTGTCGATCGATCGCGATTAATCGATCATCGAGCGTGTCACGTCGGTGTTCGACATCGGTCGAAGATAAATAACAATTATCAGACTAACTATCGCTGTCTGGAGAAATTAATTTGCCCAACAAGTTTGTTTGATAAGGGTGATTGATTAATCTCGAGAATCGACAGATAATTGTAATTAAAGAAATGTACTTACACATCCACTGCATGTCGTAGTTTCTGTTTCCGTCAACTCCGCGACAGCTGGAACCGCTGAGGACGGATCTTGTCTTTCTCCATAATCGATTCTGGAAATGTGATTAATAAAAGATGGGGTGCAAGAATTCTATGTAATTATATCTATAATTATAGGAGCTTGATAAAATATTTATTGTCGTATGAATTGTAGAAGATAATGTATTTGTAGTCGTGCTAATTGTATAAAATTATTATTGTCTGAGCTCTATGAAATTATAATTATGATTATACAAATTGTATAAAATTATATTTATATTCATACGAATTTTATAAGATTGTAATTATAATTGTATGTGTTCTATAAAATTGTATTTATCGTCCTCTGAATTCTATAAAATTATATTTGCTGTCGTATGAATTCTAAAAAATTATATTTACGTTCGTACGAATTCTAAAAACTTATATTAATAGGCATACAAATTTTATAAAATCATATTCAGGATCATACGAACTCTACAAAATAAAGATTACAGTCCTATAAATTCTGTTAACCCCCTCACACCGACTCACTTGGTGCGTCATTTAGAAATTATATTTATATTCGTACTAATTCTAAAAAATTGCATTAATAATTATACAAACTTTACAAAATCATATTCAAGATCATACGAACTGTACAAAACTAAAATCATAATCTTACAAATTCTATTAACCCCCTCATACCATGACTCACCTGGTGCGTCATTCAGAAATTATATTTACTAAAATTTTAAAATTCTAAAAAATTATATTAATAGTCATACAAACTTTATAAAATCATATTCAAGATCATACACTCTCTACAAAATTAAAATTATAATCCTACGAATTCTATTAACCCCCTCGCACCGTGACTCACCTGGTGCGTCATTCGGTTCTAACCATACAATAAAACAAACAAAAAAATTGAAATGTCACATCAACTCATTAATCATTCATCGACTACGCAAAGTATAATTAAACTTGATCTCCAAATTGAAAAATATTAAAAACTCCAGTAAAATTGATCACAGAAGTGCGTCAGACTCGTAAAAATAATGCAAGAGTTTAAACTATAATTATAATACTTACCGCTGTTCTCTGGTGAGTGAACTCGTAGCCATCAGGGTTCAGAACTGGTAAAACATACCAATCAACGTCTTTTAATAATTGTTTGTTGTTTGTCAATATCTGATCTACTGCATAGAGTGCTGTAATTGGGGCGATCCATTCCCTGGCGTGGATTCCAGCATCGATGAATATAGCCGGCTTATTTTTACCACCAGTCGATAACTTTAGCACCACCATCGATCGCCCTTCGTACGATTTACCGATATTAATTAGAGAGGCCACGTCGCTGTGGGTGTTCTTTACGTAGTTGAGGTACTGGTTCACCTGTGTTAGGGTTATTTAATATTAGGTTACTTTATTTAATTTATTTTTTATTGTTTAGTATACTTAACTTACTATTACTTATTTTGCTTAATTTAGTATTATTTAATATACTTAGTTTACTTAATTTATTATTGTTTACAATGTATGTCTCATTTATGGAGTCAATTGAAAACGGTTTTAGATAGTTATCTAAAAAAATAATTTTGTGAGGCGATTTTTGCAGCGAGTGTCTACTTAGAGTTTATATAATTAGCTAGAAATCTGCAATATTTAATATCAGATGTATCATTGTTATAAAATTGACTAAAATAAATCGAAAGAAATATCGAAGTTCAATAAATAGCTTAATACTATTGTATTATGTCGAATGCATTTTTAAACTCAAACAAATTAAAATTGAAATTAATCAAAGTAATGAATTAAATTCAAAGTGAAGCATACAAATGAGCACTGACTCATTAACTAATGCACACAACCATTTTCAATCTCAACGAAATGTGATACTTTCACGAAAAAATACAGCAATGTATAAAATGCACTAAATTCTACTTTGTACAAAACGCGAGACTTGCAAACAATTATTGCGTCTAGTAAAATTAATATTGTGTACCTCATTGTAAGTGGGATAATAAGTGAAGGATAATCCTCCGGAAGCCAAAGAGGACCTCGACTGCAGTCTTCGCTCGACTTCTTGCTGGATGAATTCCTCCACGACTACATCTTGAACGTTCTCGATGTTAACCGTGTAGTTGAATTCATTGGAGTCGAGCAAATCTTTGAACTGTTGCACTTGGTCCGCTGTTACTAAAACGTCCACGGAAGTGTCGGTGGACCTCACGAAGTCGAAACCGGGGGTGTCGACGAAGTTTTTGAGGAAGAGGAACTCTTCGGGGGTGTTGTACGAAATAGTGAGACTCTGCATCCTGAAATTTTAATAATTTTTATTAAAAAAAATAAATGAAGTATTTATAACTTTTGATGAGATATTTATAACTTTGGAAGGAGTTAAAAAAGAAAAAAAGGGGAGGTTGATATATTTTTTCGTATTCAAGCAATAATTTCATCGACAAATAAAATATTTCTGATTTCAAACGAAAAACAAATATGGAGATCTCTAATTTTTCCACGCAAATACAATCAAGCAATTATTCTACTGTTAAGTAAAATATTTGTGATTTCGTACAAAGAGAATCATATGGAAATTTCTGCTTTCCATTCGTTGGTAAATAAAATGTTTGTGATTTCAAACAACGACGAGGAACAAAGAGAATGAGATCGAAATCTCTGTTTATGATGCAACACAATCAAGCTCTTATTATTTCGTTGGTAAATATAATATTTATAACTTTCGACAACAACGAAGAACAGAGATGACGAGATCAATCTCTGTTTTTTATGTACAAGCTGTTATTTTGTTGTTAAAGAAAATATTTATGATTTTGAACATAGAGTGAGGACGAAATCACTATTTTGTCGTGCAATGAAGTTAGTTTATTGTTAGATAAAATATTTATTATTTTGAACAAATACAGGAGTCGAAATATCCTTCCTCTCATGCAACAAAATTAAGCAGTTAATTTATTATTAAATGAAATAGTTTTTATTTTGAACAAATACAGAGGTCGAAATTTCCTTTCTTTCATGCAACAAAATTAAGCAGTTATTTTGTTATTAAATGAAATATCTATAATTTTGAACAAATACAGAAATGTCCTCCCTTTTCGTACATCAAAATAAAGCTACATATTATTTTATTCTCAAATATTTATGCAAAGATAAAATAAAAAATCTCTCCGTGCATTATAGAATAAATATCTAGTAAAATAATAAAATAGGAAAGAAACGAACCCCTCCAGGGATGGCAGAACTTCTGCAGCGAAGACCGCCGCGGCGCAAAGCGTCACAATCAAGAGGACACGCATTCTGACTTCCTTCGATTAAACTTGCTTCTGATTCCTCCGGTTTTATATATCGCATCGTATCTCCGTTCGGTATTTCATCTACTCGATTTCGAAAATTACGTCGATGAGAAATTGCGATTGGAATATCGTTAGACGGATCGTGGAAGCGAAGATAAGATCGATTTCGTTAAGAAAAAGCATTCTTATCAGGAGTGATAACTCTGATTGAGAGCACTCATCACCGTGATTGATTAACGGTATAGAAAATCTGTATCCTGGTTGAGACGAAGTAAACGATGGTTTTACTGTTGATAATGCATTCGAAAATCGGTTGATTGATTGGGAAAAGAATGTGGAGCATTGTGTGGAATGTGGAGCACGGTTTGTGGGACAAGGTAATCTTTTTGTTATTTGAAAGAATTTATAGTAATTAAATTTGTTTGGATAAGATAAGTTATCGTTTAATTAATATTACTTTGACAATTAGTTGTGATATGTAATCTGATAAGAATCTGGGAAATCTGGGAAAGTACGCAAATCTTTAGGGAAAATTATAGGTAAAGTTAATGGGACACCAACATCTATGCAGTGGATTTTACAAAATTTATTTTTTAATAACTATTTAATTATGGTACAAATCTGAATTAATATGATACGAGAAAGTAGATAATGAGTCACTGAATATTTTCCAATAATAAAAATGCATACATTTTATTCGTAAAATCAGAAATTAATTATTTTTCTAGGTCCACATTATTGTATCTACCGCGTGACGCTATTGCGTATGCACACGATTTGCGCGTGGTACCTCAAACTACGCATACCTCCTTTGCCTTTCTACAATCCTGTTACCAGGAGCAGCTCCTGGTACCCGGCCATTAAATGGCATTGGAGGTACTTTTCTCAATTGTACCATGGTTCTCAAAGAAACTTACTCAATAGCAAAATACAGCTTTAATTAATTTCAGAATAATTTAAATGTATTGTTAAGTTGAAACCATACAAAATGCCAGATACATAATTAAAAATATAAATGCAAAATATTCTCCTTTAGTTGTAACACATATTTCACCACTATATGGCTTTTTGTTGTCCATAAAGTTCTACTTCTGGAAGTAACAAGCGGACAAGTTTTAACGAAAGTTCTTTTATTTTATAAACTAGTATGCTCTTATATACATAGAGGACAAGTGTATAAACATGGTTAAGAAATTATTTATCGTCGCCTAGATAATAATTTCTATATAAAAAGTTAAAAAAAAACAGAAATCTTGAACATAACATTGCAAGTATTATGTTGCAATTATAAATAGAAAAATATTACTTAATATCACAACTTGATTACAAGTTTCCATCTGATAAATAAAAAATTTCTATAAAAAAAGAATGCTACCCTTTTCGATTGAAATAACGTATCATCTGTATAAAAAAAAACTTTCAACGAATCAAAGGTTTTTATTAAAAATAAAACAAAAAATTGTTTTCTTATGCTGAGAACTTCTGCCAAACACACATATCATCCAAACTGATCCTTTTCTTCGGAATAGTGACTGGAGCCTAGATTAATAAAGATTACAAATTATGAATAAATCACAGCATATTGAAGTATAAAAATGATTTACAAATACAAATAGTTTTATAGTACAACATTTATATATTACATAGTACAACTATTATTTTTGAACATACCTTTTTAAACCTTTTATAATTAATAGTACTCGAGCAAGACACATCAGCACTATTCGAAGAACTATCTTCATTTCTCTGAATTAAAAAAAAATTATTATTTAAAGTATACTTATAGCATTAACAAATTTAACAATAATGCTAAAAATTGTATATGCTGCACTTACAATCGTGCACGAAGATGTTTCATTTATTCTTTCTGCACTTAAATTCTGTGACAGTCTTCGTTTTTTGCTGGAAGATGGTTCACTATTACTTTGATAGTTTACCGATTCATCAGTATTATTTCTACTGTTGCATTTGTTGGAAAATGATTCTTCTTCTTCATCGCTATCATAATTGCTAATGTATGATTCAGCAGTATTACCTTTGGCAGACTTATCTTCATCAGAATGCAAACTGTCATCGTCAGACGAAGACACAACAATCGTACGCTCCTTCATTATATTTTTTGTATTTGTTAGTGGCCTTTTGCTTTTCGCGTCAACATTCGTTTTAGACACATTATGTGTTTTCTGTGACTCTATTCTGTGTACTTTCTCTTTCTCTTTCTCTTTATTTGGTCGTTCATTAACTTTGTTTGTGTTGGACTGAACCTTTTCGAACATGTCATCGTCTTCGCTAATATCTATAACTTCCTTGATTGGAAGTTTGTTAATAACTTCTGTCGATGATTTCGATGGTTTATTATTTTCAATATCTTTATCTCTTCTCAAGTTGGCAGTATGTGGAGTAGAAGAAAATACATCCATTGACGGTACGTTTGAAACGAAAGACTCGTACGTCTCAGGAATGAAAACTGCACTGCCCCTAGAATGTTCTACTTTCTCGTTTTGTTCAGTATCTTTTGGTGCTGAGACATTAGTTTTTAATTTATCGTTTCTCATCGAGGAACTACACGGCCTTTCTTGAGTGGCTCGATCAACTAGCCTACTACTCAATAAATCTTGACTGAAAGCATCGTTCGTTTCAGGAATAATATGAGGTGTTCTTGATTTTGGAATGTTTGATTTTACAGGAGTAATATCTTGTGTGTCAATAACTATAACCTCGGACGTGTCTGGTTTTGGCTCTGATCTTTTCAAAAATTCTGAGAACCTAAATGTCGGATTGCAATACTTGTCTACAGAACTGTGCAAAATTGCGAGAGGGATTTCAGACTCTGGTATCATTTTACGACGATGCTCATGCAATGTCTTACCTGGAAACAAAAAGAAAATTAGATACACAGAAGTATTAAAACAGTTAATAGCAAATACTTACATATCAAATCATAATCAGGTACAAAGTGCTGCGTTGATTGCGTCGATTCATCCCCAGGGTATTGTAATACAACAACATTTGGGAAGCAGAGCTCTTTTGGTGTCAAAGGTTTCTTCGAATACAATACTGATTTACCACCTAAAATATAAATTAAAAATTACAATTCATACTTTATCAAGCTGAATTTATGTATCATTCTGTTTACCTGCTAGATGAATCATCTTTCCATATATTTTATATTGATTAATGCTAAAATGTACAAATATAAAATTCTGGAACAATGTTTTTCGTTTCTTATTTGGGCAAAGTAACAACTTTTCTTTGTCAATCAGAGATTCACCAATGAGGGGAATATATTTGTCTGGCTCTGGCAGTACTTCATTCCTTGAAATTGCTTCGTTAACTTCAGTCCAATAATTTATAGTTACTATAGGTATAGCAGATGCGAGAGCCCAAGTGACCTGCATTATGTATAAAGTAGTAAGTATTAAATTAATTCTAACATATATCATGATCACATTAGAAGTTTGTGTAGTATTACTTTCTCAGTTAATGTAGCTTTTGATACTGTGAGATGCGTGCAATGGTTTGTCCACTCTGTAGAAATTATACCATCTATGTGATCCATTAAGTTTTGAAGTGAGCTTTTGTCTTCAATACTTAAAGTAGATACTACTGTTATTATTGGTAGATATACTACCCTGAAATAACAGATGAATTAAATTTATACATCTATAAATTTTAAATGAAGAAAAGAAAGGGTTAGATACTTTACGTGAATGTAGCTTTCTGTAAACCAAACCGTATTATATTCTGATCATTCAAAACATATCCTTCTTCGGTCACCTCAGTCTTTTCATCATTAGTTATAACATAAGTTCCATATTTTGAACCCTTGTCCTTAACGATGCATGATGATGTTGGTTCATCCAACTAACAAAATATAACACTGTCAGTAAAGAATATACACAACATACAAAATGATTAAAAGTACATTTGTACAGATACCTTAGTGTCATTCTTAGGTTGCACACATATCGAAGCATGTGTCCTACTGATGGAATCATCATTTACTATTAAGATTTGTGCATTCTTTCTGCCAAATGTTAACTCCTCAAATGGTTTTAAATATATACGTTCACCTATAACAAAAAATGCATTTAACAATGTTGCAAGTAAGAAACAACATTATTGTAATTGAAAGAAACATACCATTGGGTTTCAACAAATACCACATTTTGATGATACAGTTATGTGTTAGAACACTTAGAAATCACAAAAACAGTATGCTTTTTGATTTCAATACGTTTCATTCCCGTTTTATAGCTTAAAGTAATTCACCCACATTGAATTACAGCAAAACAAACGCGGTTCTAGAATCATACACTATTGCCACCTACCACATATATCACAAATTACAATCTAAAATTTGGTATGTGCAACAGTTGGATAAACAGTTTTCTATAATTTCAACCCCCTAAAATTAATCGATCGTCAATAAAGTAGGAAATGACATAAAAATGGTACAAAACCTTTTCGAAAATCTTTGTACTGTTACCGACATAGTAATTTGAGTAGATTTTTACAGGAGCATGTTATTTTCAGATTCAGTACATATAATTTTATTCTTAAATAGATACATGGGAACATAGAATTTATTACATGATTTATTTATTTTCAATTGAAGGGAAAAGAAATTGTATAGTAGATGTATTATTTATTGTTGCATTATACGTCATCATAATACATCATAAGTGGTTATTAATATTTATCTTTTGTAAAATCATTACATTTCTTCTTTTATCTCATATACTTTGGTCACAATGAAATCTTAAATCGTACTCCGTCGATGCGTCGTTCCTTTTAACCTAGAATTAATTAGTATCATTAGGTACTATGAATCAAGCTATTTATCTTTGCCTCCAATAATGTTTTAATCTCTATTAATTAAGAAGACCAACATAGGAGAAGGCAATTACTACTGCACAAAAAATGAAACATGTGTATACCTTATCTTAAGAGTCTTTTCATAAACCCTTGTTTCAATTTTTTCATGCACCAACATAATGCAATACCTGTAACAGATTATACATATTACAATTATAACCACAGCAGTTATACATTATATTAGAAAAATTATTTGTTTAATATTGCAAAACTGTGTCAGACATGGTTTAGCTCAATGGTCATCACCCAATGGGTTCCAAAGAGAATATGGAATATGCCTGGCCTCCTTGTTACCTGCATAAGCAGTGCATAGAGTTATTTTTCGACACAGCGGTTTGAACCATACTGCACAATATCAAGCAGCTCCTATACCGCAACCAAAGTTGACTAACACATTTCTGTGTTTATCAAACTATGGTCTTTGTGTCGAATAATGTTATTAATATTAAAACTATACATTCAAAGTATTGAAGATCTTATATCTACTCACTTCATTCTGGATGAGTAGGTTCCCTGACCACATAAGTCAATCAATTTTGTAACCAATGAGAGACATTTGATGAATTAATTTGAATCATCTTTTAGGAAAGCCACAATGTCTTCGGCATCCCATATTGGGATTAAATTCCACAGACCCATGGCGAGGTATATTGAATTTCTTGTGAGACTATAATAAATTTTGTGTTAAGCATATAATATATAATAAATATATACAGATATGCAGTTAATAACTATAACTAAAGAGTTATTTATATTTAGAGGTATCTAAATTAACATTTAATATAGGGTTAGATATATTAGGCACATGCTTGTCATGTGGTGAGTTTACTTTTTAGGATTCTGCAGGATATTTCAATTATTTTATTTAATCAAAGATAGATATAGGATTGTAATTGTTAAAAGAAATTTTGTACATTTAAGATGTAACATAGCTACAATAGAATTTGTTTAAATATTATAAAGATCTTTTACAACCCTACTTACCATCTTGCTGCGACCAAGTGTGGGTTATATTATACCCTCTCCGGGAGAGGCTCTCCCTGCCTACAGTGCTGCCGCCACAATCAAAATAGTTCAAAGCCGTTGCAGTTGAAATGATCAGACAAATTCCAGTAATTTCCACTTAAAAATTTTGCAAATAATTGCTACTGTCTTTCTCAAATTTTAGTAAATGGTAAGATAAGTTAATAGTAATAGTTTTCCATTCGAGTACAATTTGACTACAAGTTATATAGTTAATTTATACAAGCTTATACTAATTGCAAATCTACGAAAATTTCTAAGCTGAATATTGTGGGCATCATCTACTTTTGACTTATATAAAATATCAGCTACAAAAACGAATAAAACTTACATTTAGTTTCAAATTACTTTTCGACAGATCGCACATAAATTGTATATAATTAAACTCGAGTTTTTTGACAGAAATTGTTCTCCATAGAAGTGGAATCATAGACTCCATTATTATTTCAATACTTTTGGTAACAAAATGAAGTAACACGCGGATGCATTGAACATCTAAAACATTTCTACAATAAGGTATACTACTTTTATTTAAAATATAATCGCGTATACGCAACATTGTGCCACAATAGTCACAAGTGCTTCTTTTTTATTATCTATGTAGTATTATTTACAGATACTGGTATGTTTCAATAAAGCACAAACGCGCACACACACTCACATGTTTCGTAGCATAACGATATTAACACGTATAAAGAGATCTTCATTAAGTCATTCAATCAATTATAAATTCATTTTCTATAAATACCACCGTAACGTCCCCTTATTTTTTTATAGACTGTTGAATCTCCAAGAGACTTTTTCCGGTTGTTTCCGGTATCAGAAAGAGAACGTACGGTATAACGAATATCGAGCAAACACTGAAAGTCCAATACACATATTTTTCACCAACTAAGTCCAGAAACGGCTGATAAGTTCTCGCACTGGCGAAAGACATCAACGCATTATTAATATTCACACACGTCGAAGCTATAGTCTTCATGTTCGCCGTGAACATTTCACCCAGCAGAGTGCTCGGTATCGGCTGTAGTCCAATGGACATGGACAAATTGAACAGTAACATGGAGAATATAGGTAACCACGTTAAACTCGCTGCGTTGTAATCCAAAGAAAGCAGATGAAAATGTAAGCCTAACAATGCTAGGGATATGGAGGATCCTGCGCCGGAGATGATCAGAAAGAATCTTCTATCGAATTTGTCGACCAGTATCGTACCCGCTGCACCGGCCACAATCGTCGAAAGTCCGAGAATCGTCACCACCAGACTGGGTGTCACGCTAATTTTACTTCTTATGAGAATTATTTGTGAGTACGAGTTCAGAGCGGAGTACCCAGTCATGTAGGAGAAGAAATAAATACCGACCACGATGAGAGCCTTTTTGAAGTTGCCTAAAATATTATAGGAAAACATAATGACGTGTAAAGGACATAATGACCTTAGTCAAAGAAAAGAATGGTAAATCACTTGGTATGAGAAATTCCTTCAGCTTGACAAAATTATTTGTTTCAGTCCCGTTGACGAATTCCTGAAGTTCTCGTATCTCGGTTTTGACGTCAGTCTCTCGCCTGAACCATTTCAAGGATGCTTCAGCCTTGTCGATATCCCCATGCAGGAGGTAATGGTAGGGTGATTCGGGTATCATGCTGAAGAGGATCATGAAGAGGATATTCGGAACGAGACTCACGTACCCGAACATCTCCATGGACAGATAAGGACCCATTGCATTTCCCAAGAACATACCAACGGAAGATGCGTTCACGTTAAAGGATATCTAAAGACGGGGACCACAAGCAGCTTTATCAAGTTAATTGAAAATTTATGAAACCTACTGTACAATTAACTCGATAGATAAAATTTACTTTTCTGTAGGTTGCGGAAAGCTGTAGACGTAGACATTGACGTAACTGGGACTTTTATCTAGGATCAGTACCCTTTGCAAACTTTGTATATATAACCTATGACCTTCAATTTACCTTGATCCCCCATCCAGTTACGCCAAAGAATGAAAAACGAAAATAAGGATTTACCAATGATCCGCGGATGCTGGGATCGGCTATCTCGCTTAAATACAAAGACAGTGCACACCATGTCATTCCAGAGCCAATTCCTGAGCAGAATCTTGAGGTGTACAGCCATGCGACCGATGTGGCACAAATACTAAACACCCAGCTCGCAGCCAACGGTATTCCACTGAGCAGGAGCACCTTCTTTCGTCCGGTGTACTCTGAAGATGACGTTGCGACACGTTAATGTTACTTTTTACCTGAGAACAAGATCACCACAACTCAGAACCTTTTGTTAGATCAAGGAATATTTAATCTTTAGGTTTGCATTGTCACATACCACGATTTCGTGTCAGGTTTTTCTACGAGTGCTGAGTCGTGGCTGCCTTGTTCTTATCGAATTCTGGATTAGCAATGCCGAACCATTGCTTGCCCTGTTTGGTTACTTGATCGTGCGCTGTAAGAGAGGATCGATCTAATCAAAGATGAATATCTGTTCGGTTGATCACTGATGGAAACTGCTCTCGTACAATTGTATTCCATCAGTGATGTGTATATTATTAACATTATTAACATACATGTAAATTATTAACTTATAAATTTGTAAGCAAACTTGCTGTTTCGAAGACTAAAATCTTTTGCAAATTTTTCAGACGACCGTAGCGAAAGAATGGACGAATCTTGCCAGACTATCTGACAATGAAGAAACGACTTTACCTTGACACAGTGCACTGAGCAAAGCGCCGGTGAACCGGCCAAGATTTAAAAGGGATGCCACCCAGGATGCTTCGGTGTCTGTCAGTCTCAAAGGCATGTTCGCTTCCGTTGATGTCAGTTGAGCCAAGTACGGTGATGCCCAGCCATTCGCGAGGCCACTTCCGATAACAACTAAGCTGACTGTCACAAACGGCCATGAAACAGTTGTGTCAACGGATGCGAGAATAATTTCATTAGCTCATTCATAGCTAGAGGTCTACAAACGCCTTGATGTGTGGGACACAGTGCATCTTGATGTACCAGTAATTACGTTAGAGCACCTTAATCGAGTTTCACGTCAATCGAACACCTTGCACGTGAACTTTCAGCAAATATGTCGTAACTTTCTTCTTAACAGGTTCTATCAAGGTTCCATTTTGTAGTTACTGAAGGGTCACTTGCAAGGTGTTCAATACCTTAATATTTACTACATGATGTTATTAAATTTGCTCCACTTTTCTTCTTTGTATAGATTGATGTGCAGAACGTATTTGGAACTCTCGGAAAATTTTACGGATATTTTAATTAGCAAGGAAATTAAAGAGAGCTTATCAATAGGTAATGCACTTGTTATATCAGTCACACGATGGAAGAATTAAGAGGGATCATTACAAATTTGATTATACTTACGTGTGCATGCAGCCAGCCATTGTGGCCAGACCGTAATCGTTTTACCCCCATTTTTCTTTGGATTTTCATGGGACATCCCGATTTCAGGAGTTAAACGAGATGCACGGAACACAGCGGTTGCCTTGACTGTTCAGGAGATGTTTTCAAACCTGAATCTCGATGAAACTTAGCAGGAATATCCTAGCGGAGATCGGAAGATTTGCACTTCGATAAGACTCCTGATGTATTTATGCGCTGTGTGTAATAATTTGATTATTATGTGTGTTGCATGTGTTTGTTTTGAAGCGGGGCCCATAAAAAATCGTTATCTCGGAACTTTACTACGGTCACATTTTTCTTATCTCTGATCTATCCTCTTCTGCTTTTAACCAGACCAACGGCTTCAAGTTTCTGAAAAACACCAGCTTACGCAAACATCGGGTAGCCGTGATTGACAGTTCAGCATCGTTATCACTGGATCTTGTCATAAATAGCACATTGCAAATGACGATATTAGGTGGCACTGTTTCGTTGAGAAATTTATTATAGCTACTTGGAAGATTGACGCAAGAATACCGCGCTGTAAGCTCGTTGAATAGCATTGTACTACATAGTCACAATTGTTGTCGAATGCGGAAAAATACAGACTTTATTAAAATGTTTTCCTGGGAACAGAAATTTGTGAATTTAAAATAGTAAACAGAAATTTACATTTGATTTAAATTGTTGTAGTTTATGCATACAGGTCTTGTGCAATATAGTTGAAACAGTGACGTTTTTACAAAGTTATCGAAAATAAATATTGTTTCGATATTGAGAATGATGTAAAAGTACACAAACTTGTTTGCTTGTGGGCTGTGCAAAGAAATAATGGCTTTCTTCAATCAATTTTTAGCAAACAATTCTAAATTATTTTATGGTTACAAGATTTGGAGGATAGGTCAAGTTTTATTGTTCACCCCGTATCGATTGAACGTAGATTGTCAATTACAATATGATTTAAGGTTGTTTTCTTTCAGGATTGGGGAATAAATCGTTTAAAATGGAAAAGAAACGTTCAATGATAAGCGATACGAGTATTCCAGATCCGCTGAATACTTTTGCGAAAAAAATTGGGAAAAAGATTGATGTCCAAGATGGTAAAAGGTAAGATTAAATATAATTTCAGTGAAAAGTATCGTCCAGCAAACAGAATATAAAATTTTAATATCATGTTTTATATTAATTTCTTCAGTAAAGAAACTTTGAAAGAGATGCTAGTAACATCTCTCATGCCGACTCATCATCGATTAGAGTGTTTACCTTACACTAGCGTGGAAAAATGCGAAGAACTAAACGAAGTCGAGAAAGTTTCTGAAAAGTCTGATAATGAAAAGGAACCGGAAGGAGTTCTAGAAACAGTGGTAGGTAAGTTAAACATCAACAAATTATAAAGAAGCTATTAAAAATTCATTTACTACAAAATTAAAATTTCATCCCCAAAGAAACCAGCAAAGAAGAAATAAAAGAATGTTCTTCCATTGACACGGACGAAATACTATTGTCTCCTGATAGTAAATGGTTAAAGGACCATTTTCAAGTACCACTAAAAATGGCAATTAAGGAAGTGGTATCGAAGAAGCCGTACGATCCGGTCAGGTATCTCGGTTTTTGGTTGCTGCACTACAAAAGATGTCAGGAACGCAACCAATGTCTGTTAGAGAAAGATCAGGAACTTAATTACATTCGATCGCTGATTCGCGAACCCGTAAGTGTACTTAATAAATTATTCGCAAGACTTAGATAATGTAAGATAATATTCCAGACGTTAGCAGATGAAGAATGTATTCTCCCAGACAGGGGAGAAGAAGAGGAAACGCGAGACTGGAATTTTGAACACTACGACACAATTTGAACATAAATTCCTGGTAAACTGCTCTTTCGCTCCCATAATAAGGTGACAATAATATGAAGAATTAGGTAAAAAATTAAAATTAAAAATATCTTCAAACATTCGAGTTACTGAATTATAAATTGTTGGTTTTAAAACGTTGATTGTCATGATGGTCGATGTTACGGGTTAAGTTAAATTATTTAAAGGAAAAAAAGAGAGTTTAACACTGAGAGAACAATATAATAAAGTGAGCAACGAAACACGAAAATTAGCTATTTTCTCAGTAATTTGCAATATAGCGTGTTCCATTATATACATTAAGTTTCGCTATAACAGTCAACGGGTTAGAAACGTGTATTATATCACGTTTGATTATGTACGTCAAGTTTTGGTGTGGTAGTGCACGTGTTAATAATATGTATTATAGTGTCTCTGACCATGTATGTCGAGTTTCACCGGGCAGTGAACGTACTAGTAATCTCTACTGTGGCGTGTCTGATCATATATGTCAAGTTTCACTGTGGCATCCTCCGCGTTTAATAGTCCATTATACTTTGATCACGTATGTCAATTTGCACGATGACAGTCAACGAGTTAAAAACGATAAAAGAACAAATTGCAATACGTTTAAAGGTACTCAAAGAGTATCGTTAAGAATACTATGCGAGTAAATATCGCTGTTCGATTGAAAAGCCTTTGTCGATATTATTCCATTCGCCTCGGCGTCGTTTGCATTTGTGCAATCCAGTTTTCAAGCGAATAGGTCGCTGTCTGACCATACGATACGTTTCATCCCTTAAATTGGGTTGAAAGTTCCATATATCGTTTCCAGGTGTCTCGACGTTCAACGAGCTCCATTACGGAGCCGTTCGTTCGAACTCGTGCATTTCCGTGCTCGGGTCGCGGTTCTCATGCAAAATTGTGCTCAGTTCGAATCGCGCAGCTGCCACTCGTAGTTCCGTTCGCGGTTAATCGAAAACGTACGAAATCGCGAGTCGAAACACGCCGAGCTATCAGAATAGTTTCGTTATCTTGTAAAAATGAGGAGAATAGGCTAGCGAAAGAATGACGCCAGAGTGGCAGGATGCGGTCAGTGCAGCGAGACACGCGTCGCGTGTCACTCGATTGTTATTGACGCGAGGGTTGGTTGCGCGGCCATGGCAGTTGTCGGGTGATCATTTTCCTCGGCAGATGGCGCGGCGTTCGTTTCGGTCCACCCTGGCTGCGCTGGAATGCCCTCAACGAGGAGCCTCTCGAAGCTGTCGTCTTTCGTGGAGCTTTTTTCCACGCCACGATCAGGTGACCGGGCCCCGGCCCTTCTTGGACCCCGCGAAACGAGCCCGCGACGTCAGTGGTCAGCCGTGAAGGGACGCGAAGCCGTGAAAACGAACGTGTCGACCCGTCAGCCGGATGGTCCACTTTACACGTAGCCTGGTGTGTTGTGTTGTGCACCAAAAGGCGGTTCCAGTGCACTCGACTCGATCGTGATCTCCTCCGTATCCACGGTTCGACAGTGTGATTCCGTACAGGATTCGTGTTAACGTCGTGCGTTTCGGCAGCGGTGTCACGCTCGACGGTTGTTAATCGAGGGAAAAGGACAAGGCCGTGGTAGCGAGTTAAAGCGGAACACGGGAGTGTCGTCCACCATTTTGGCTGCGCGAGGTTATTCGATGCGTGCACCGTTCTCGTCGGTACATTCGCTGTTTTCGTGTACGAGTTCGTGAGAGATCGTTCACGATGTTAGCCGAATCGCCATCCGATCCGAGCCAGGATCGGGAACGGTGTCCCGAGAGGTAATCGGGTAACGTGATTCCGTAAAATCGACGCTTAAATGGAGCAAGGCGAGGGCTGTTTTCCCCGTCGCCGTCTCGACGCTGTCAGCTGGCCGTGTACGAGTGGCAGTGCACGAAATTGACAGTGATTACAAGTTCGGTGACGCGGATGTTCGCGATTCGATAACAGTCAGACCATCGGCGGAAGGGAAAAAAATGCCGATGTCGAAAGTGGGTTACCGTAAGTGCCGACCCGGTTGTTGCTGAGTTCACGAAGAAACTCGTGGTGTTCATATTTATTTTTTCTTCCCTCATTTTCTTCGATATTCATCGATTAGCGAGGTTAGTGCAGCTGATCGGGAACGACGCGTTCGAGGGAGGCTGGAGCGTCTCGAGTGCCATTAACCTCGTTTCGTGGCCACCTCGCGGCCGCGAACGAGCCTGCTTCCGCGATTTTCCACGGACTACCCTTGCCACGGACTTCGTTTCTAAGCGATGGGAAGCGTGATCGACGAACCGGAGGTTATGAAGTGTACGCTCTCGTGCCACGGACACGGTCCACCAAGTAAGTCGTTAATCGTCTTTGAAACGCGGGAAACGACAATCGTGATGCTTGATTAATCAGAGAGATGTGTGTTCGATCGTTCGCGTTTTCCTCGTTGAACCATGATATAACCTCTACGGTGTACTGTATACGCTGGTGAATTACATTGCAGGAGGTGGATAAAATGGTGAAGTAGAACTGCTTCCGGTTCGGAACTCGAGATGGAGAAGTGACTGTTCTTTTTTTTATCCTGGATGGAATCCTTCGGAGTAGTTGTAGATGTTTCGTGCGATTATTTGACCAAAGTGAACTACTGGTTTGTTGTGCTGGATCAGTGCTACGAGTGTGTGCTTTTGTCGCCGTTTTGACCAGGATTAGCTGTGCTGCGAGTTATTTCGACCCACCAGACACTTGTGAGTACTTTTCGTGTCTTTATAATGGACGGCCGTACATTTCATGAAAATAAAGTTTAGTAATTTGTCGACCACGCAGAGGAATTTTATGAGAGGCGTTATAACGCGAGGGTATCTCACGCGTGGAAATTTTACGAGTGGCGATATAATGTGAGGATAGCTGACGTGAAGGAATTCAAAACGTGGCGATATAACGCGAGGATATCTCATGCGTAGAAATTCCATGCGTGACGATATAACGCGAGGATATCTCACGCGCCGAAATTCCATGAGTGGTGATATAACGCGAGGATATCTCACGCGTAGAAATTTCACGAGTGGCGATATAATGCGAGGATATCTCACGCGTAGGAATTCAACACGTGGCGATATAACGCAAGGTTATTCCACGCGTAGAAATTCCATGCGTGGCGATATAACGCGAGGATATCTCACGCGTCGAAATTCCATGAGTGGCAATATAACGCAAGGATATCCCACGCGTAGAAATTTCACGAGTGGCGATATAACGCGAGGATTTCCCACGCGTTGGAATTCCACACATGGCGATATAACGCGTGGATTTTCCACGCGTTGGAATTCCACACATGGCGATATAACGCGTGGATATCCCACGCGTTGAAATTCCGCAAATGGCAATATAACGCGAGGGTAATTCCACGCGTTGGAATTCCACACATGGCGATATAACGCAGGGATATCCCACGCGTTGGAATTCCACACATGGCCATATAACGCAAGGATATCCCACGCGTTGGAATTCCACAAATGGCAATATAACGCGAGGCTATTCCACGCATAGAAATTCCATGAGTGGCGATATAACGCGTGAATATCCAACGCCTAGAAATCATCGCGTAAAATTGCGAAAATTAATTTCACGAGCTTTTGTGAAGCGAAACAGTGGCGCGTTATTTATTTAATTAAGAATTATTTGATCCGTCCGTATAAAATACAAGTTATAATTAAAAAATGATTCTATTTAAATAGTTCGAATGAAATATACGACCGTCTTAATGTATGAACACGGCTAAAAGGAATCGCATGTTCAAACATTTCTTATCACGTCGTAAAAGATCGTAATTTTACACGAGCACATACACGATGTTAAACGTCGTATTTCATTATTTATTGGAGCGTTGCGATTCTACTGATTGTGCGGTGAATGTTTTCTTACACGTGTTTGAAGATAATTTCTGATAACGTAGGAAAATTTGGAATGTTTTATACATAATAGAAACTGCGTTCTTGCAATCCTGTTATACTTGAGCATACCTAGTTACTCAAGTTACATATGAATGAAACCAGCTGTTTGTGGTCAGACATATTTGGTGCGTTAAAGAGCTAATGTCTAAGTATTTTAATTATTCCAAGTAAAATTTGACTATTATTCAGATAGGAAGCATAACATGAATGAAAAATCAGGTACATAAATATGACACAGGAAGATTTTAATTACACTATCCATTGTACTATCGGTATCATAATGTTTTGTAGCAAGGAGCAACTAGTTTGCATTAAAAGTTCCATTTACCTCCGTAGTTTCTTAGCGTTTAAATATTCATACACTGAAAAAGTTAGCGATTCTTTATGAACATTTCTTGCGAAACAAGCTTCGTATTTCGTACGGAACGTTACATGAGAAACGCTCTCGCAGAATGTCCGTTTAATAAAATATTCCTTTATCACCGCTTTGATAAACCTTCGTTTACCATTCTCGCGACATCCACCGGTCGGCCGTACATTTTAAGTTTAATGCGAAATCATCGAACATGGAAAGCTGGCGGCATTCCAATTTCTCCTACTATCTCTCAAATCCGTTTCTCCTACATACAACCCTTTATACAGTAGTAGTTCACGTAACACGTGTTCAACTGTGTACGTGACATACGTTGCGGGCATAGGTACCTGCATAACTGCACAGGAAACCGAATTATTGGGAATGCAAATTGAAAGTCAACGTCTCTTAGATACATACGTACAAGCTATGTGCTGTATTAGTCAAGGCTAACAAATTGAGCGAAAAATTTCATATTTTCGAATTTGACTGAGTCTGAACGTAACATTAATTATTATAACAATTAATAACAGGAAAATTTGGAATAACTTTATCGTTAGGTTCGTAACTGCGTGATTGCTTATTTTGTTTCAACAAGTGCTGAAATTCGATTGTGGATAGTGGCCATATAACGTGAGGTAATATAACACGTGACGACATGTGACAGTACAATGCATTGCGGTAGGGAAATAACGCGTAGTGATGCAACGGGTGGTGATACAGTAAGTGGCGATATAATGCGAGAATATCCTACGAGTAGAAATTCCACGAGTGGCGATATAACGCGAGAATGTTCCACGCTTAGAAATTCAATATGTGGCGATATAACGCGAGGATATTCCACACGTAGAAATTCCATGAGTGGCGATATAACGCGAGGATATCCCACGCATAGAAATTTCACAAGTGGCGATATAACGAGTGGATATCCAATGCGTAGAAATTCCACGGGTGGCAATATAACGCGAGGGTATCTAATGCGTAGAAATTCCACGAGTGGCGATATAACGCGAGGATATTCCACGCATAGAAATTTCACAAGTGGCGATATAACGAGTGGATATCCAATGCGTAGAAATTCCACGGGTGGCGATATAACGCGAGGGTATCCCACGCGTAGAAATTCCATGAGAGGCGATATAACGCGAGGATATCCCACGCGAAGAAATTCCACGGGTGGCGATATAACGAGTGGATATCCAACGCATAGAAATTTCACAAGTGGCGATATGACGAGTGGATATCCAATGCGTAGAAATTCCACGGGTGGCGATATAACGCGAGGGTATCCCACGCGTAGAAATTCCATGAGTGGCGATATAACGCGAGGATATCCCACGCGTAGAAATTCCACGGGTGGCGATATAACGCGGGTGTATCTCGCGCGTAGAAATTCCACAAGTGGCGATATAACGAGTGGATATATTACACGTAGGAATTCCATGAGTGGCGATATAACGCGTGACAATAGTGCAGTGATTCAACGGGAGGTAATATAACACGAGGGTGATGAATTCAGTTGCCAACCTAATACTCTACCAATAATGCAATATAACGAATGTACTGGTTGAATTTCCAGCGTTAACGTTCCGGAACGCGAAGATAAAGGAAAAGTTGTTATTTTCCTTTTTGGTAAATCTTTTTTAGTCACGTCCTTATTTGAGCAGAAAGGGAGAATGTTAAATTACTGAAGTTTCGGTAAGAAACGTTCGCAGTTAAGGGGAAAGAACTATTCTGCGCTTTATGCAGTTTTTGCGTTCGTTTTTTTATCCCCGTAGACGCTTTAATTACCGGCACAATTTATTGTTGCCGCCCGCAACGACAGCAAAATTAATGCCTGTTAATGTGGTGCGCTATAGAGTGGTAATTTAAAAAATCAATAAACCGCAACAGTGCGTTCCTCGCGTGCCTTTCCTAACAACTTCGCGTTACTATGTTACAAGTAGTTACATTCTTCGGTGTTTAAATTGTGTAACATGTTATTGCACTTTTGAACTAATTCTCACTTCTGATGAAGAATTACGAGACAACTCGGTGCGATAGAAACAGGAAAAGTTCATGAAAACTGCAAGCAGATGTTACAGTTCTTCAATACCGAAATTTTCCAAATTAACAAATTCTCAGTTCCAAATCAACGACTTCCTAAATTCCCAATTTTCCAACTCCCCAAATTCTCAAAATATTCAATATTTAGAACGCTTCGAAATATCGACGACTATTCAATTATTGCGTCGCAGAACCCCTGTTTGTCACTCAATTGAGTCGATCTAATGGGTAAACAGCAATCCAATAACATGAACGCAAAACAAATTCGACGAAGTACATATTTCATGGATATGTACATATATGTCTTCTAAAAGCATCCCGAATTGCTGTTTTTCCCTCTGCACGTACAAAGTGATTCGTCTCTCGATTACTCGTTTGTCATCGATACCGTTCGACGTTTCCCTCCTTCGTGCATCCCCTTTTTCTTTCATCCTCTTGAATATCGTGGTTGGCCACGATTTATCAAGGAAAAAGGCAGTCGGGGGAAACGTTTTCAAGAACAAATGTTCCTGAATTTCACCTGACGTAGGACTGAAAAAAAACCATTCTCATTTTTCTCCTGCTAATCTTTCTTCTTCCTGTGCTTATGCGGCGTCTTTGCTTTTTGGGTAGGTTATGGGATTCGAAATTTGGGGATTTGGGGATTTGGGGATTTGGGATTTGGGGATTTGGGGATTTGGGATTTGGGAATTGGGGATTTGGGATTTGGGGATTTTAGAGAGTTGGAATTTGGGAGATTTGGTATTTGGAAAATTGGGGATTTGGTAGATTGGGGATTTGGTAGATTTGGAATTTGGGAGATTGGGGATTTGGGAGATTGGGGATTTGGGAAATTGTGGATTTGAGAGATTGGGGGTTTGGGAGATTGGGGATTTGAGAGATTTGGGATTTGGGAGATGTGGGATTTGAGAGATTTGGGATTTAGGAGATGTGGGATTTGAGAGATTTGGGATTTAGGAGATTTCGAATTTGGGAGATTGGGGGTTTGGGAGATTGGGGATTTGAGAGATTTGGGATTTGGGAGATGTGGGATTTGAGAGATTTGGGATTTGAGAGATTTGGGATTTGGGAGATTTGGGATTTGGGAGATTTGGGATTTGGGAGATTTGGGATTTGGGAGATTTGGGATTTGAGAGATTTGGGATTTGGGAGATTTGGGATTTGGGTGATTTGGGGGATTTGGGGGATTTGGGTATTGGGGATGTGGGAATTGGGAATTTGGAAGTTGAGGATTTGGGATTTGGGGACGTCAGGATTTGGTGACGTAGGAAGTTGGGGACGTGGGAATTTGGGAGCGTATGAAGTTGGAGTCGTATGGATTTGGGGATGATAGGATTTGGGAACATAGGAATTTGGATATATTTGAACTTGAGAACGTAGAACTTTGTATATATAA